TGGACGTTGCGATGGCGTCCCGTTCTGGGCACGTTGAATTGGACCAGCCCCAAAAGAAGCACTGGCCAATTGGCGCGGAACAACTTGCCCAAAAGGTCTAAGATAAAAGGTCGATCCAAAGCACTTGTGCGTTTTTTTCTTTTTTAATTAATATATATATATGTATATATCCTGGTAACAACTGCGTAACAGCCGGGAGTAATGCTTTGCCCGTTCCTTAATCAAGAAGACCCTGAGTCGAAACAGCAGTGGAACAAAAACACCTCAGTATTTCCAACATCTAGGCGAATTCGAACTGTGCACCACTGAAATAAGAAGTGGACAAAGAAAGGAGACTTCTTGGGTCGATGGACAATTCTTGGGCAAACACGAACCCCCACAAATGCAACATGTTCATAGGCAAGCTAGAGATACCTTGACATGTCTGTTCCCAAATGGGACCCCCGACTCCCGGCCAGGCCGGTGTCGTGTGGGCCCGCTCAATTTGGTCCATGTTCAACCCTGAACCCGCATTCACAAGATACATATTTAAGAATGTAAGATATTTCAAAACAAAAACGCAAAAGCCGTCCAAAAGGAGTTCGACCCGTTTGAGACCTATTACGACAACATGGCATGATCAAGGTGGTTGCTTTCGGGGGGGATTGGAAATGACAAGACTCTCCCCCTTGCACCCGACCGGCTCGCAAAGAATTGGGCGTCTCTTTTTGAGGGGAACCCCCAGGTGTGGTTTTTCCTTTTGAACATTTGGGTGTCCCAAAAAAAAAGAGCCCAAACAGGGTAGCCTCGAACCAGACACACAGAAATGGCTCTCTCCCGGAGCGGCTCAAACGTGGTCGTCCTGCCAGCTCCAGCGCGTGATCAGAACGCCTGCCTTGGAGACGTGAAAAAAAACAGCTTGTCAAGCTGACGCGCTGTAAAACCTGCCGCCTTGGAAACTTGGTTGCTGGAACGACCCCCTGCAAAACAGGGGTGTGGGATCACTCGGGGTTTTTCCAACCACTTCTGTGAGACAAGTTGGAATCTCCCCCTTTATATGGGGAGTTAGTCTTTGGGAAGCCCTTTTTGTTGTATCACAGAAGTGGTCATTTCCCACAGCCCTGCTGCAAAAAGTGTTTCACTTTTTGGGGGTTTAGTGGAAGACCCAACTTGATTTCCCGAAAGTTAAAGTCTAAAGATCCAACCCCATAGCAGTCAAGGAAATCTCTCATCCGTCGAACATGCCCGAATGGACCAAGCTGTTGCCACGAAAGTGATCTTCACCAAACCACAAAGTCCGCAAACCTTGCTTGCAGAAAACTATTGGATCATGGGATCTTAGTGTGGAATCGTACACCGTATGCATGACTGGGAATCACGATGCGGATGCTTCAAAAGAAACCGCTTCAGGGAAAAGACTCATTGGGGGAGGCCTCTACTGTGGGACAGGGGCTGCGAGACTCTCTTAAACCAAAGTTGGACTGCGGGAAGGTGTGCATGCTTTTGCTTGCCGTTTATGTTCAACCATTGTGTCAAAAAGCCACGAGTAATGGGTACAAGATTGGGAGCCAAATAGGACCAACAGGCCCAAGTTCAGAATGCGTGAGGGCAAAGGGCAACCCGCCATTTAGAGTAAGCACCAAATAGGGATATCTGAATACAATTCATGTGCATCATTCCTAAAACAGTTCCCAAGGGTTCAACCCCAAACAAAAAGAAAGGTTGACCCAATTTGGATGACAATCTTTAGGTAAACACTGGTGGTGAAGTGTGAGCCCAACCCTTGTTTTAATGGTGGTAACTGACTAGGTCCTCCAGTAGAGAGGTTAGAATAAGGTTACCCTCTTTTCTGTAGTCTATTTTAGTAGGGTTCCCCCTCCCCAAAACAAAAGGGGCGAGAAAGGTTTCACCTAGCTGGGGGACCTAGCTGAATCTCCGGAAGTGGCCGCACCGGGGATTGACGAATCGCCACCTTCGTCGAGTCGACTTTGCTTCGGGAACCGTGGGCCGAGTCTGTGGCCAGCGTGGCGACCAGCAATTCAAACAGCACGCTGAAGCCCAAGTCCTCACTTGGGCGAAAGGAGAAGCTGGGCCAAAAACCCGCCGGGGGGTTGGACCAAAAAAAGACCAAAACCGTCCCCCCCCCCCAAAAAAAAAAAACACAAAAAACAAAACAAAACAAAACAACAAAAACAAAGAAAGCATGGTGTTTGCAGTGTTTTGCAAGCATTGGAGCTATAACACTACATCCCTGTGAGCACCCCCCCATACCCCCCCTCCAAAAAAAAAAGGAACTGCCCCAACAAACATTCATAGCTTCTTTGGGCTTGCCATGTAACAGTGTTCAAGCGGAAGTTCCAAGCTGGGTGTCCATGTAGAGGGATGGCACTATGATTAGAAACATGTTGAAACAAGTGGAATCCATTTATCTTCAACTGGCATAAAATGACACCCAAAGCACGAAACTGGCTCGCAGGACCCTTCCTTTGTTGGGATACTTTTTACAAGGGGAGCCAAAGCCAATTTTCGAGGTTCCGCCATGGTTCTCCTTGCATACCTTCGTACATTTTTGAAATCGCAAAAGCTTGGTTGACGTTGGAAGGGGAGCAACAATATAACCATTAGCAGTTAAGTGGGTATTTCTCACTAAACCACAATAGCAACATGTAACATGTGTCCCAACTACAACCATGAAAGTGAGTGTGGCTCAAAAACTGGAGCGTTCGAGCCTGTCAAATGGAAAAGTAGACTAAAAGCTGCGGCCCCCTGGCTCTTCAATGTTGAGCCACACTTAAGTAAAGAGCTTCCCTTCTTGGGTTGCAATCAACAGCGGGTCCGTCACTAAGAAGAGGTTGAGACGGAGGACACGTCGTATCCAAATTTGGAAGGGATATTATGGGGGTCATGTGAGATCACGGAACATGTTGTGGCATACGAGTTTTTGGTGCGCAGGTGCAGGGGGTGACATCTTGAAGATTAATTTACGAGGCGTTGTTTTGGGCTGCATTTTGTTTTCGAGTTGCACTCATTTTTGGAGCTGTGTGAACCGACCGTGGAATCATTTTTCAGATGGTGTGAGTGTGAACCAGGTACCTAAAATGGAACCCTGGTACATGGAAACAAGGACTAAAACCTGCGGCCCCCGGTTGGTTTAATTTTGACCCATATCCAGATGGCATCTTCCGGCGGTTTGTGAGACGAATCTGAGAGGAACTTCGGGCCCGCCCCCCGCCCCGGGAACCCACGCCGCAAGAATTTCACTTCCAACAGATGCGGCCCCGCAAAGATGGGTGCGTCTTGCCCCGGAAGAATGTGATTAATATGATGACATATGGTGATTGTGTCATGGACGAAATCCTGCACCTAAGAACCCTGGAATGATCCCCCGGTAAATGCCAAGGCCCGATACATTGTTTGGACACACCCACCGGACATGATCTTACCCTTCTCAAAGCCTTTCGGTAAGTGAAGCCCAAAACTCACAAACTGATCCGGCTAATAGAGGCTTGCAGAAGGAAACCTAGCAGGATTCTGAGAACTTTCTGGGGGATAGGGGATCTCCTTGAAACAAAGTCGAGGGGCTGGGCGTCAAATAAGGGAATAACCTGCCCTGTCGGAGTCCCTTTATATGGGAATGACTGAATAATCAAGCTGAACTGCACCGAAAAGTTGTAGACTGAAATACAGCCAACCTGGCAAGAGAAGTACTTACAGTGATTTCGACATAATGAGTGCATTCCGACTCGGGTTGCCATTCGTGCTCCAGAAGCAGCACATGCCTGCTGTGTTCAAGCCGAAATACAGCGCTGTTCAAACAGATCTCAAACACATAACGCCACTATAACAGGGATCCTTACGTTCTACACCTGAACATTGCCTTTTGGTGGAAAACGCCATGTTTCAAATGGGCGAAATGTATCTTTTAAGGAGCCCTGTATAAGCACAAACCAACCACACATGTTCCAATATGTTTGATCAAAATCGCGCACAAAACCTTCCCAGGCTTAGATCCCCCGCCAAACTTCTCCGTGTACGTCTACAAGGCACAAAAACACAACTAAGTCCCCGGAAATGCTGAAAAAACCGTAGAAAACAACAAACACAAACTCTGTTTCGATGAAACAAACAACAAACACATCTCAAAGGCTGTGGGTCAAAACCAATGGTACCATTTTGGGGTAGGTGCACCACCCACTTTAGTCTATTTTAGTGGGGATTGGGATGTTCACTGGGGGTGCGGCCTTTTGACCCATGGCCAAATGGGCACTCTGTTTGTTTCTTTGCTCGTTCCCTGGGTTCAGTTTCTCGTCTTCTCCCCGCCCGTCCGTGCCCAGCGCGGTGGCAAACACCACTAAGAAGAGGCCCAGGCCTATCGGAATCCGAATCGGAAGGCTCAGATTGCGCCGATGTTCAGCCGTCGAATTGGTGCTTTGGATTGGCGGTTTGGTGGTGGGGTTCGGAACGATGTACCTTCTACAAGAAGGGGTTGGTGGTTTGGTTCATTGGAGATTGTAATTGGAGGTGAGGGGCTAGGCCAGGATTGGAATTTGCTTTGGATTGGCGGTTTGGGCCGGTTGGGGGTTTCCCATGCCAGGGGTTCAAATCCCAAACCAACCCAAACCACCAACTGGAGGGAGGCTGAGATTTGCGAACCGCCCAGCTTTCGGAAAGCCCCAAACACACGTCAAAATCGAACTTTTTGAACACCCGCCCCAGCTTTCAGCAAGAAACAAAACACTCAACTGCGGAAACAAGGAGGTCGAATCTGAACATGCAGCGAAGTCATTTTGCGCCAGCCTTCGCTCGATGATATGTCCAGCACAGCCTGTTCACACAGAATACTAAGCAAGATGACAAGCTGTTTCTTGTTCTGCAAAAAAGGGGCAGTGTCGTGGACATTCACATGACTTAGTCATAAGTGTCAGCCGAGTCAAAGCCCAAACTACTTCTTCCATGGCTCGCTGTCCAGCACAGCTTGCTTGCAAAAGGATTGTAAAGCAAAATACACATTCTTCAATTTGAGGGGACAGTGCAGTGGACATTCCCTTGATTTCTTGCGAGCCAAGTCCAAAACCAAGCGCAATCGCTCGTACAAAAGACCAAAAAACAACGGATTCTTACGCGCCCTACGGCTTTGTTTCGCTCACGTCCGAGGCTTCAGGCTTCAGACGCTCACAAAGTCCTCCAACGTGTCCGCCTCGCGGCCAACGGCGCTCGGAGCACTGGCCGTTGGAGCTGCTGCGGATTTGGCGCGCCGGATGTCTCCTGATGGGTACTTGCTAAGGTGCCTCAGCAAGAAGAAGGTCATCACCAGGCAGGGCACGCACAGGACCAGCATGAAGCAGTTCATGATCAGAAGATCCCCGCTGAGCATCTTTGAGACTTCCGCGCATGGCCAAATCAGGAAAGACCAGCCCGCTGAGAACAGCCACATGAGGGAGTTGATGCGACCAAAGGTCCGATTGCCAAAACTATGGCCGACAAAGGTAAATATCGAAGCGAACAAGAGACCTCTGAAGTTGGTGAATGATGCAAATCCCAACAACTGAAGCTGAAGACTTGGTATCAGCATGCAGACATTCCAGGCAACACCAAGCAAATGAACAACCAGGAAAGTAATGGCAAAGCCTCCTCTTGACATGCACAGGTTGTACAGCGGAATAAAAAGTGTGGAAGCCGGAAGAAGCAGAGTGAAGATCTGAGTGTACAAGTTGTCCAAGTCCGCGTCTCCGAGCTGTTGCAACACGTCCTTGATGACTCCCAAATACGCGTTGCTGCGGAAGAGCTGCAGCATAAAAAACGTGACGGCGACGGCAAACTCGAAGCTACGAAGCTGCTGCTTCACTGCCAAGCCATGAAGCCTGGGGCGCTGCTCGGTCTCGCCCGTCTCGCCCGCAGGGCCCGGCGGCCCGGGCTTGGCGGATTGTAGCTCCTCCATGGTGGTCCTCTGCAGCCTGCGGCCCGGGCGGCCGCACCAGCTCAAGGCCAGCAATGCGCTTGAGACCAGGCAGAGCACAGCATAGCCTGTGAAGATGCCTGCGCGGGAGATGCCCGCCAGGTAGCAGCGATAGAGCCCAAACGGGACTACTGAGGAGGAGTCCACAAGGCAGTTTGCCAAAGTCATGATCAGCGCAAAGTGTCTGGGCGCCACTATAAAGGCCAACTTCAGGGATTGCAGCATGAGACATGCGCCACCAACCGCGCTGATCACGAAAGCCAGGAGAAAGCCGTCCACCAGTGCTGGTTCATCAGGGCCCCCTGCGAGTCCCATAAGCAAAAGCCCGCATGCCTGTAGCAGCCCCCCAGCCATCGTTATGGCTGCCGGCCCAAAGCGATCCAGCGCAAGGCCTGCGACAATAGCGGTCAGAATGGTGACGCTGTTGTCCACGCTGAAGAGCAAGATCATGCGGCTTGAGCGTCTGGCACATAGAGGCTCCTCTTCAGGGCACATGGCGAGGTAAACGCCATCTCTCTCAAATAGAGCTTGGAGGGCAGCCCAGCCGTAGAAGAACAGGGAAAAGCAGAAAGTGACCAAGGCACCCAAGGCGACAGTGGTCCATTCCCGCCAGCCCGGCTTGTCTTCCATTCCTGGCTTCATGCTGAAGAATCGAACCTCTTCTCGAGCCTCTGCGAATCCAACGGTCATGTTGCGTTACATGTGAACTTCCGATTGCTTTGTGTGAATGGGGCGGCGCCAAACACTAGCACTTCCGGTTCCGGAATCAAGGGCAGCTTGTGAAACCAGCTGTCCGGAAAATGAATGGCTCGACTCTCAGCGTGTTGTCTCGGCCAACCCTACCATTTCTACAGTAACAAGGCTGATGGCATGAGAAATCTTTGATGTGTGGCCCAAATTTATGGTTGGGGATCGCTCCGCGGAGAACGGGCGTAGTAGCACTGAGTCAACCAAACCGAAACAAAATCATTCCTCCGCCCCCATGAAAGGTGCCCCTTGCGGTCCCATTTTGGCAAAGAAAAGCCAACCAAAAGACTATGAACAAGGGCGCCGGTTTGGAGAAACACCGGGTCGCCCAATGCCTGAGGCAAAGCCACCAGAGCGTCAGGATGGGCTTGCCTGTTGAGAGGATCAAATCAAGTTGGATGCTCCAAGGCAACAGCTCCAAGCGCTTTCCAGCTTCGTTTTGCAAAGGTTTCAGATCTGGTGATCACTTGCTGCCCAAGCTCCCGGCATCGAAAAGCAGGGTCCTGAAAGATCATCTACTCGCCCTCTGGTTGGTGCCAGGTTGGGTGGCCAAGCGAGAAAACACGCATCTTCAAACAACAAGTTGAGGGTCAAAGGTTCAACCCAACAGAAGAATGTAGGCGACACCTTCCTTTTAGCCAGCCTGCTAGCCGATGCTAGCCCCTCGTGGCCACTGATATTTTTGATAGGCACTCCTCGCTACCTCAGCTCTTGCCCCCCCGTACTGACTATGTCATGACCAAATGGCCCATATCTTACAAACCTTGAAGTGCCGCGTCGACCCCGAAGTAAACACAAAGCCCGGATAAATCAAAACGGCTTGGTGCTTCCCCCAAAAGTGAAGGATCTTGATCCGCTTAAATTGGTTGCTCCCAACACCTTATCAGATTGGGACTTGTTGCCTTTCACCCCCAATCAAAGTGCGGATTTCGGGACCTCACAAGGTGTGTTGGTGCCTTGGAGTTGCACCTTGCCCCCTGCAAGGGCAAAGCCAACCTGTCCAGAGCCAACAGTATAATATAGATACGTGTATATATATATATATATTGACACGGTGTGTGCTTTAAATAAGGAACGCAAACACCGAGAGATCTGTTTCTTATTTGGGCTCCAAGTTTCCCTTTTTGTCAGGTTGTCAGGTCGCCAAACAACGAAATCCCCCGCCTCCAGCGAAGATGCCTAAGCTGCCCCACCACCTCGGATCGGATTCAAAGGGCTTCAAGGCAGCATCGTTTCGGCCATCGTTCCGGGGGCAACGTTTTGTCGGTTTTCTCAGTTCCTGGAGCTCCATGAGCCTTTCAAAATGGGGTCATTACCCAAAATAAAGGGGTCATGGACCAGGGTCATCCGAACTCCATTTGGGATTGCCCGTACTATCCTTCATCTACCCGGGTTTTGATTGTGGCTCATTTGGGTGCAACTTCAACGATCTTAACTGCCGCTCGAGGCAAACCTCCGGCCGCCGAGCGCTGGGCCGCAGCTCTTTGGCCACAGCGCGGCAGCAGCCGCAGCAGCAGCCACTGGCGGGCTTGCGGCAGGTTGCTTTTGGGGGCTACCTTTGACCAAGGGAATTCCTTTGAAGAGTTTGAACATGGGATTTCCATCTGGAACTCGTAGGCACCTTGAACATGGGGATTTCCATCTACTGGGACTCCTAGGCACCTTGAAGAGTTTGAACATGGGGATTTCCATCTACCGGGACTCCTAGGCACCTTGAAGAGTTTGAACATGGGGATTTCCATCTACTGGGACTCCTAGGCACCTTGAAGAGTTTGAACATGGGGATTTCCATCTACCGGGACTCCTAGGCACCTTGAAGAGTTTGAACATGGGGATTTCCATCTACCGGGACTCCTAGGCACCTTGAAGAGCTTGAACATGGAGATTTCCGGCTACTGGGACTCCTAGGCACCTTGAAGAGTTTAAACATGGGGACTTCCGGCTACCGGGGCTCCTAGGCACCTTGAAGAGTTTGAACATGGGGATTTCCGGCTACCGGGACTCCTAGGCACCTTGAAGAGTTTGAACATGGGGATTTCCATTTACCGGGACTCCTAGGCACCTTGAAGAGTTTGAACATGGGGATTTCCATCTACCGGGACTCCTAGGCACCTTGAAGAGTTTGAACATGGGGATTTCCATCTACCGGGACTCCTAGGCACCTTGAAGAGCTTGAACATGGAGATTTCCGGCTACTGGGACTCCTAGGCACCTTGAAGAGTTTAAACATGGGGACTTCCGGCTACCGGGGCTCCTAGGCACCTTGAAGAGTTTGAACATGGGGATTTCCGGCTACCGGGACTCCTAGGCACCTTGAAGAGTTTGAACATGGGGATTTCCATTTACCGGGACTCCTAGGCACCTTGAAGAGTTTGAACATGGGGATTTCCATCCTTGAAGAGTTTGAACATGGGGATTTCCGGCTGCCGGGGCTCCTAGGCACCTTGAAGAGTTTGAACATGGGGATTTCCATCTACCGGGACTCCTAGGCACCTTGAAGAGTTTGAACATGGGGATTTCCATCTACCGGGACTGCTAGGCAGTTTGAAGAGCTTGAACATGGGGGATTTCCATCTACAGGGACTCCTAGGCACCTTGAAGAGTTTGAACATGGGGATATCCATCTACCGGGACTCCTAGGCACCTTGAAGAGTTTGAACATGGGGATTTCCATCTACCGGGACTGCTAGGCACCTTGAACAGTTTGAACATGGGGATTTCCGGCTACCGGGGCTCCTAGGCACCTTGAAGAGTTTGAACATGGGGATTTCCATCTACCGGGACTCCTAGGCACCTTGAAGAGTTTGAACATGGGGATTTCCATCTACCGGGACTCCTAGGCACCTTGAAGAGTTTGAACATGGGGATTTCCATCTGCCGGGACTCCTAGGCACCTTGAAGAGTTTGAACATGGGGATTTCCATCTACCGGGACTCCTAGGCACCTTGAAGAGTTTGAACATGGGGATTTCCATCTACGGGGCTCCTAGGCACCTTGAAGAGTTTGAACATGGGGATTTCCATCTACCGGGACTCCTAGGCACCTTGAAGAGTTTGAACATGGGGATTTCCATCTACCGGGACTCCTAGGCACCTTGAAGAGTTTGAACATGGGGATTTCCGGCTACCGGGGCTCCTAGGCACCTTGAAGAGTTTGAACATGGGGATTTCCATCTGCCGGGACTCCTAGGCACCTTGAAGAGTTTGAACATGGGGATTTCCATCTACCGGGACTGCTAGGCACCTTGAAGAGTTTGAACATGGGGATTTCCATCTACAGGGACTCCTAGGCACCTTGAACAGTTTCAACATGGGGATTTCCATCTACCGGGACTCCTAGGCACCTTGAAGAGTTTGAACATGGGGATTTCCATCTACCGGGACTCCTAGGCACCTTGAAGAGTTTGAACATCATGATTTGCGTCCACTGGGACTCCTAGGCACCTTGAAGAGTTTGAACATGGGGATTTCCATCTACCGGGACTCCTAGGCACCTTGAAGAGTTTGAACATGATGATTTGCGTCCACTCAATCTCCTAGGCACCTTGAAGAGTTTGAACATGGGGATTTCCATCTACCGGGACTCCTAGGCACCTTGAAGAGATTGAACATGATGATTTGCGTCCACTGGGACTCCTAGTCACCTTGAAGAGTTTGAACATGGGGATTTCCATCTACCGGGTCTCCCAGGCACCTTGAAGAGTTTGAACATGGGGATTTCCATCTACCGGGACTCCTAGGCACCTTGACGAGTTTGAACATGGGGAGTTCCGGCTACCGGGGCTCCTAGGCACCTTGAAGAGTTTGAACATGGCAATTTCCATCTACCGGGATTGAAGAGTTTGAACATGGGGAGTTCCATCTACCGGGACTCCTAGGCACCTTGAAGAGTTTGAACATGGGGATTTCCATCTACCGGGACTCCTAGGCACCTTGAAGAGCTTGAACATGGGGTTTCCATCTACAGGGACTCCTAGGCACCTTGAAGAGTTTGAACATGGGGATTTCCATCTACCGGGACTCCTAGGCACCTTGAAGAGCTTGAACATGGGGATTTCCATCTACCGGGACTGCTAGGCACCTTGAAGAGTTTGAACATGATGATTTGCGTCCACTGGGACTCCTAGGCACCTTGAAGAGTTTGAACATGGGGATTTCCATCTACCGGGACTCCTAGGCACCTTGAAGAGTTTGAACATGATGATTTGCGTCCACTCAATCTCCTAGGCACCTTGAAGAGTTGAACATGGGGATTTCCATCTACCGGGACTCCTAGGCACCTTGAAGAGTTTGAACATGATGATTTGCGTCCACTGGGACTCCTAGGCACCTTGAAGAGTTTGAACATGGGGATTTCCATCTACTGGGACTCCTAGGCAAGTGAGTAGGTTAGTTAGGGTTCCACCTGTAGAATTGGAAGTGGTTCCCTTGGTTGCCTACGTTTGACATGGTAACTGGAGGCACTGGGTTTGCCGTCATGTCACTGGTCGAGTTGTCCCTAGCGACTGGGCAACGATGGGATTTGACCTACCCTCACAGTTGCAAACTCAGTTTGAGGTTCACAGGGTTTTAAGGGACATCCAAAACCCAAACATGGGCCTTCTGATATGTTTGACAGAAACCCAAATCACGGAAAGCCACAGAAAAGGGTCTCCCAACAGAAGAATCTACAAACACTGGATCCACTACTAAAAACATCCGGAGTGATCCGGACAGTAATTCAGTACAATCGGCGATTTGAAGAAACCAAACATTCAAGATGCTCAGCTCTCAGAAAAATCGTTTGGACATGTCCTCTTGCCGTTCAATACGTTTTTTTCGTGCATCCAAACGGACTTATTTCTTTTCCTGCATCCAAATGGATCTGTTCGTGCATCCCAAACGATTTTTTCGTGCATCCCAAATGGATCCAAAGACTTGTTCAAATTTCCAACAAAAGGAAAGCCAAAACCTCCCGCTGACCTGACCTCGTCTCATCCGGGCCTCTGCGAGAGATCCTCCGCCGCCATTGCCCAGACCCGCAAGCAGCCGCCGGCCACCAGCAGCACCAGGTCCCCTTCGAAGAGCTGCCTCCAGCGCCGGACTTTCGAGGAGTCGATTCCGGGCGTTCCTCTGGAAATCATGAGAACTTCTCCCACCAATTCTCAAAAACTGCGGAAATGAGGCTTCTTCTGGGTTTTCTTCCGAAAATCACGAGGGTGTCTGCTTCTTTGTTGGGCAAGTTTCTCCCACCAATTCTCACAAAATGAGGCTAGGAGTGTCTTCAGCCTTCTTCCGATACTTCTTTGGGTTGCTCGAGAAATGAGGCTTCCGGGGCTCCCTCCCTCCCGAAGGAGCAAAAGGTGAATCGATCACCGGTAAGGAAGAGCGCTTGCTGCTTCCAACAGGTCTGCGTTTCGGACCCCAAAAGACGAGCCAGGGGCTATACAGGGCTCTCAGATAAACCTAAGGCTTCCTTTCGGTTTCCCAAAGCCACCCCAGAATCACAAAACAAATTTGGCACCCTCGGTTTTGACACACCCCACCATTGTGTACGATTGACCCACTGAGGGCAACCCAGGGAATTGCAACGCCTCAATGGATGACTGCGACTCCATTGGACGATTGCCTGATGCTTGTCGACCACCCCTGCTGAGATACCAAGAGGGCAGTGTCCATGACTATATGACCTGATATCGCGGGAAGTGGGATTCCCTAAAACCCTACTTCACATAAGCCATGGCCAAAATTCTTGGCCTATGGTCATGGTTTCCTAGGACAAATCGTTTTGTTCGTTGTTAAGGATCCTAACCAGGATGACCATCCCTGCTCACCCCAAGTCAAGGAACCGGTCGAATGTTTAAACCATGGCACGCATCACGTGGAGTCGCATGTCAACTTGGGGTTCAGGACATGCGGGTACCACGAGCTCGAAGTTTCCCGAAAAAGGGTAGCTGAACTGCGCGGCTCACATGGCGTTGAAAAAAGGGAAACCGACAGAGGACGCCAAACCTGCGATTTGGTCGTGCATTGTAACAAGGAAGTGAGGAGAAGAACCCTTACATCTGGACAAATTATAATAATTTCTACCTCGTACCTCGAATTATAAAGAATAATAAAATACTACCTCGCCCAAATTAAGGGTCCACCTCGCACCTCATATTTCGGGGCCTTCCTTGCCTCTTAAAACAGGGTGTAAAATTGGGGGGGGGGGTGGAGCCAGGTGTATTGTTGCAACCGTTTTTTCAAACGTGTGTGCTTTCAAGCTTGTTATAGGGGCAATTAAGCAGAAACGGCTTGTTTTTGACAACTTGATGCCAGTCTTAATGGGAGACAAAGAAGGGCCGGATTCTCTCGAACCTGTGCATATGTTCAAGCTTTGCAAGGCCAACTTGATGCCAGTCTTAATGAGACATAGGGAACGGCCGGATTTTCTCAAACATGTGTGGTTTCAAGCTTGTCAAGGCAAATTAAGCAGAACCTGATGCCCGTCTTGATGGGAGACAAAAAATGAGCCGGATTTTCTCAAACGTTTGTGTTGTCAAGCTTTTCAAGGCCAATTAAGCAGAAACACGGCTGGTTTTGGAGAACCTGATGCCCGGCTTAATGAGAGACAGAGAAGGGCCGGATGTTCTCAAACGTGTGTATTTCAAGCGTAGGAAGGCCAATTAAGCAGAAACGGCTTGTTTGTTGAGAACTTGATGCCAGTCTTCATGAGAGACAGAGAAGGGCCGGATTTCTTAAAAGTGTGTATTTTCAAGCGTAGGAAGGCCAATTAAGCAGAAATGGCTGGTTTTTGAGAATATCAGGCCAGTCTTAATGAGAGATAGAGCAGGGTCGGATTTTCTCAAGCGTTTGTGTGTTTAAGTGTGTGAAGGTCAATTAAGCAGCAACAGCTGGTTTTGAGAACTTGATGCTAGTCTTTTAATGAGACACGGGAAGGGCCGGATTTTCTCAAGCATGTGCGGGTTCACAAGCATTTTAGGGCCAAAGCAGAACTGGCTGGTTTTTGAGAACCTGATTCCCGTGTGAATGAAATTCAGGGGTCGGATTTTCTCAAACACGTGTTTTCAAGCTTTTTACGGGGGTCGGATTCTCGCACACCTGGCCACACTTGGCGTGGTAGCCATCGAAGATGAAGCCCCGGTGCGCCGAATAACGCCCAACAGATTTGAGAAATCCTTATTTTCGGAAACCACCTCGTGATTCGGGGTTTGGGGCTCGCCTCAGGCCAGTGAGCTCGCTATAATTTGTCTAGCTTGCATGGATTTGTCTTTATTCGTGGACCCCCCAAGACGTTGGTTTTCTTGTTACCCCCCAAAGAAAAACAAATAAATAACTAATCCAAGCGAGGGTTCCCTCAAAAAACAATACCCACATGATTCCGCACGGCTCACATACCCATTGTCCGGGAATTTGTTTTGGGTAGTTCAAGGCGAGATGAGACTGTGTGGACAGGCCAAAAGCCCTTCCATTTGCAGATACCCTGACAAACAACTTCTATGAAATGTTTGTCCAGCTTCCATTTGCTTAAGCCCCCTGGGAAAAAAATACAAAATATTTCCAGTAGTGATCGATTTCTTTGAAACCAACAGGTGAAAAATACTCTTAAACAAATGGAAGCAAGTAGTGATAGATTCCCTTCTAAACCGGCAAGCATATTCTCAAGCAAATGGAAGAGTCCGAAATGGTGGTTGCCAATAAAAACATGTCTTGCCAAAGCGTGAGTCCAACTCAGGAAGTGAGTCAAAGGGGAGGGACCCTTGGCCACAGAAAGTGCAGCGCGTCAAAATTGCGAGGATATGCGGCTACTGTTGTTTTTTCTTGGGGGGGATCCTGTATTATGTTACGCAGGGAAAGCATATGGCAACCAGCCAATGCGTTTCCAATTTGTCCAACTCGGTTGATCCAAAGACCCCGGCATGCGAAAAAGCTGGACGCAAACATTTCAAGGAAACCATACCTTACAGCTCTGGAGTTGGGTAGCTCACTCATCTTTCGCCTACAATGGTAGTATTACTTCCGGTCTAAATTTGGTGAAAATGAAGATGACATTTCCCCTATTCCAAAACTCCACTTTTTTGAAAGGCATATTCGGCCGTGCCTGGAATCCAGGCAGTAACTACAATGTTTTAGTCAGGGTCTGACATCATACCTCTAGGGGTACCTTCCATTTCCATTCTTTCCAGGGTTCTTTCCTTTCCAAAAAGCCTCACTAAACCCAGGGAAAACGGATCCGGTTGTTGAAAAGAAGGATGGTTGAAAAGAATGGAAAAGGAATCAAACCCTAGAATACCCTTTAAAGTTCATGTCAAATCCCAGGTCGACCAAGGGCCCGGGCAGGTCGCTCATGCTAAGCGCGAAAAGCACGGCCAACCCACGGATTCTCAGCTTGGAATGGGACCGGCTGAAAGGGGCCGAAGAACCAGAGCTTTACAAGGCCACAAGGGGACCTACGTGAAGGGGACCTACATGAACGGATTCACAAGACCCACATAAAATCCGAGACTGGGACTCAAATCTTTCGGAAGGCAACAGTGGGAAAGCTTGTGCACTGTGCGGCTGTGCTCTGTTTGCGCAGTTCTGTGGTCATATACACATTCCCGGGTTGGTGCCTTTGACTCGCACATGTCTTAAAAAAAGAAAAAAACGTGTTCCTAGCTTGTTCAAAAGGGGAACCGATTCAGATCCGTGTTTTCCAAAAGCTGACCCGAGTTCGCGAGTACTCCTCGCATCCTCGCCTACCTCGAGCCATGGAGCGGTGAAAAAAGCGCCAAACGCCAGCGTCGAAGGGCAAGACCGGGAAAACGCCGCCGGAACCCACTTGAAAGCAAACTCATTGCCTGGAAGCCAGTCATGTGGATGGATAAAATCCGGCACCAGTTGGTAGGGGACGGTGTATCCATCCCAACTGGAGCAGGAATTTGTCCATCCACAGTACTTGAACCTGGACTCAAAACGGTGCCCAACTGAACACCAAACGGCGAACAGCCGGAAAATGTAGTGTGTGATAGTGATACCCTTCAAACATGAAACCCCCAAGTCTGAAAACCAACGGGTCAGCTTTTTCGTCGATTCAAACCTCTAGTGGACATCCTTTGCGGAGTTATGTCCAACCATTTGGGGCCTCATTAAACAAACAGAGCCAAGTAAGTACGTCTGACTGACGGGATCTGATGCGCCAAAAGGCCCCCGAAACATCTATTTCTTGGTTGCCCCAGCCGAAAGCACTTAAGCACTTGTGCCACTCTTCGAGAACAGACGGTGCCCAGTAGTGGGGCTGCATTTGTTCAAGAACGGTCGTCTAGAAAGCGACTCGCGCCGTCCAAAAGTCCAGCCGGCCGCCGCTTTCTCCAAGCGATGGGCGAGCGCGTCCCGGTCAGCCGGGATTCCGGTGAAAGGCTCGGGGCAAGAGGCGCTTTGCAACTTGGCCCGGAGTGAAGGCCACTCTGGTTGCGACGGGACTGTGGTTTTCTCCTGAGGTTGACACAAAGAAAATGAATCCGAGGGCCGGGGCTCGCGTGCTGATGGGACTCTTCGAGATGGCCGAAAGCAAAGCCTTTTTTCTGCCATCAGCAAACGTGCGCGAGCCGTGAGCGTGTCAAAAGTTCTACGTGTCGACTTAGGATTCATCCGGACCATTCTAAAGCCACTGGAGTGAAAAAATCGCAGACCCCCGGTCACCATCCAAAGCGCCTGTAGTTGCTTTGTAAGGGACGCCTCCAAAAGGGAAAATCCGCACCCACTGGAAGTCTGGGATGTCTCCGAAGTGGAAAACCGAAGTCGACATTTTGTGTCACCGAGCGGAAGGCCTCGCACATTCGAGCACTTGCGCAAGCGGAACCCTGCCCTCCAAAGTGTTCAAGATCGGTAAAGGACCGTATAATATGTCACCAACCTGAAATAAGGTGGTTGGGGGGCTATTTCCCCACAAAAAAAACCACCATTTGGGGTGAGGTCGTGTCAGGTCGTTTCTTTCACCCAGAAGGACCGCCTTTTTCTTGACCCTCCTGCCAATGTTCAGACCCCTCCCCCCAAACAACAAGTCACCCACCGCACCCATCCTTTTTTGTCGGGCCCATCTTTGTTTGGAAACACTCACAGCAAACTAACTTTCAGCGTGCATTCTTGAGTGGCTTGGACTCTTTGGTGGAGAACAAAACACGTGCTCAAGCAGGCATTTTGAAGAGTGTTCCAACCATGAAGGTCAATACTCTGTCCATGGGCGAATGGTCATGGTTCTCGCGGGAATCCTTGCGAGAACGTCTAAATGTCCAAAGGTGTCAATGACAATCCCCCCCAGCCAAGTCTAAGCGCGTTCTGACCATGGCATATATCAGGGACAACAGCTCCTTAAGCAAATGCTTCAAGATGAATCACGGATAACCGAAACAAAACACAAGCTACAGCACAGGCCTCCCTGCGAGTTTCGGTCGGGAAAATTGCACAGCAAAGGACGGGGGGTACTGACTGTTGCTCCTAAACGGGGAGTTCTCAAAAGAATTTTTCCCCTCTGCTTTGTGCCCTTTTGGCGTCCGTTGAAACCACCACAGGTCCCCAAAAGGGAAATGGGCATGGGTCAAAAGTAAAGCATCAGGACAGGGGCCGCAAGTCTTAGCCTTGAAACCCATTTTCCAGAGCAACCCATGTTGGCTACCTATTGACCCACACCCTGGAGGAATCTTCCCAACCAGCCTAAGAGACCTCCACTCCAGGCTCACCTCAGAAGGCGCACTCGAGCGCTCTCACGTGCACTGCTTTTTGTTCCCCACCCGACAGGAAGGGGTTGTTGGATTTTATGTTGGGATCCGCATTTGCGATGCTTCTACACCACGCCCTCACCCAGAATCCCGCTAGAGCAGCGCGCCAGTGGATCCCGCTGAGTATCCCGCCAGAGCTGCTCGCCAGTGGATCCCGCCGAGTATCCCGCCAGAGCGGCTCGCCAGTGGATCCTGCCGAGTATCCCGCCAGAGCGGCTCGCCAGTGGATCCCGCCGAGTATCCCGCTGAGTACCCTTTGCCGGTGGATCCTGCCGAGTATCCCGCTGAGCACCCCTTGCCGGTGGATCCTGCCGAGTATCCGGCCAGTATCCCGCCAGTCTGGTTTGCTCAATGTCCAAAACGGCCGATGGGAATTTGGGGTCGAAGTCTCCAGGATGCGGAGGAATTTGTTGTAACGGTCGTAAGCTCGTGAGTGTGGAGGGTGGGGATTGCTCGAAGCGAAGTATTTTTGAAAAACCAGGGCTCCAAGTCGGGGGGATGTCTTGTGTTGGGGGTACTGTACTCGCTTTCTTGTGGGTTTTAAAGGGGAGAGACACAATTTATTTGGGGGTCCACAAACAAAAAAGGCGAGACACCCATTGTTGATATCCCACCGACTGGCTCGAACTTGACTTTTGGGCCTAGCACGAGGGGTTCATGGATGAGTTCTGTTTTCGGATTCCGTTTAAACCCACCAAAAAAGAACGGCGCCCTCAACAAAACACTTACAATCTAAGCCAAAAGTCAGACAACCCAAGCCCTGATGGCTATCACCCCCTGCCCAAAACGTGATAACCTTGGTTATCTATAGGTCCATATGTTAAGAAAACCAACCATTTTCCAGTAGTGATAGATGTTCTTGAAAACCAACAGGGAAATGTCAACCTAGTCCCACTTTCGGCAACTTAAATAGAATATATTCTTGTCTTCAACTCAGGGCCCCCTCCAAAAAAGCAACGAACGGGTTCTTCCTGTCGGTGTCCCTCTGAAAGCCGACCCAAATCCCCGCGGTGCTTTCCCGCGGCGCCTCCCAAGCGAAGCCTGCGGCGATCCGGCGAGCCGCTCGCGCCGAGGGGCAGCTGCAAGGCCTCCGCCGTGGACTCCCGCAAGGTGCGCGCCAGGTCCGGGCGCTCGGAGAGGCGCGCCCCGAAGCTGGGGATCATCTCCTCAGGCAGTTGGGGGGGTCATCCGATTGGATTGGAGGGGGAGGGGGGGGAGGGGATTCCTGGCCTTGGGGGTTGGGGGTGGTCGGGGGGGGGGGTTGGGGGGGGGAGAGGGGATTTCTGGTCTTGGGGAGTTGCTTCTTTTTTTTCCTGGGGTAGTCAAGAGTCTTTTAGGATTTGAAAGGACATGATAGGGAAACCTTTCCACTTGTTGGAGGGGGTTCCCCTTGCCTTTTCTTGGAGGGCACCCTTGGCGGTCGATCTTGGGGAAATTCGTTTGGAGGGACATGACATGAGCTGTTTTTGGACTCCCGGAGGGATTGGGTGGGTGGACAGCCCCACAAGTTCCCTTTTTCAAGGGACATTGTAGGGATATTAGCTTCTTGTTTGGGGGTCCCTATTTTGAGACAGCCCCGAATGGGTGTGTGTGTCTTTGGAGGGTGCCCTTTGGTTTGAAGCCAGAAGAACATGTTTTTTTCCGGGGGAAGGGGACGCATATACTTGGGTGTTGGCGTTTTGGGAGGGTTCCCATGACTTGGTCACTGTTCAACCCTAAACATACTGTTTTGCACCACCCAAGAAACCCTTGAATCATAATTCTGCTGTAAATACCAACAAGCGATGGTGTCCCTTTGTCTCGAAGTGGTGCAGGATGTTGTCCATCAACAGTAGGATGTAAACATCTTTGCTTGATTTATATTCTTAGTCAAGGGCAACGATGTAAGACGGTCCCAAACGTTGACCCAGTTCCAGTTGTTGAACACGTATCCAATGGTGCCATTTCAAAGGACAACCAAACGGAAAGCCAGCGTTTCCACCGTTGTGGGTTCCCATTTGAGCAGCCATTAGCTAAACAGGTAATAGATTCAACCACCTAAAATGGTCAATAAGGGTTTTGGGGGCTACTCATGCGATGGGGCTTGTGGTACGAACCTGGGAGGATGGTTTCTTGGGGGGGGGGGGGGGTCAAACATATCTTGTTCTGGACCTTGGTGCAGTTGTTGTTTTCTCGATTTTTCCGGGTACCCTTTGGGGGGTCTCAAAGAAAAAAAACAAAATGACGTTCGGGGGTCCCCTATTTTGATAAACACCCATGCAGTTGTTTGGCCCTGGAAGCCAAATAATAAAAAACAACTTTTAATTGGGACCCTGTTCGGGGTTCAGATCATAGGAAGGCTACACGAAAAGGGATAGCTTGCCATAAGCTGGAAGCAAATACATCACAGGCCCAAGCGAAGTTGGCCGTTCAACTGGAAATTTGGGTGCAACTAGTGCAGCATGCTACGTGGCAACAGTCAAAACCAGAAGCCCAGCTGTCGCCTATTGCAACTCACGAAAAATGGCAACCATCTTTTGCAAGCAACTTGTGAGAGAAGCCCTGCCGCAGGTACAACTAGTCATGACCCTTGTGTCCAACGAGGATTTTTTTAAGCAAATGGCCATAGCCAAAGGACAGGCGCAGCCCACGCGGCCTCTGACTGTGCTGAATATGTTTCTTCCTGGTGAAATATAGGCTGGCACGGTCACTAACTGGGTCACAACAAGGCAGGTAGGTCGAACCAACCACAGGCGGACATCCTGGAAAACCGGCAACCTAGAGTATCTAAAACAACCTAAGGACCTATGCCACTTTGTGGAGGATTTTGGATGCAGCTGATGTCCTCATAAGAGTGTTAAGAGAGTGCAATGGTCCAACACTGTCGCATCTACCTGGCTGTAGCTCAATGGACTGGTAAGTTCTGTTTTGCCCAAAACCAATTCAAAATGACAAAGAACCCCGGCAACAAACAAGCAAAATGGGAACTGTCAAGGCAATAAGCCGTTTTAATCGTTGAAGTAGACGACCGGAGGGTCTTGTAAGACCATGCTCAAGACAGTGGGGATGGTAGTCCGGGCGCCACACAACTCCTTGAAACAGAAACAGGATGGTCCTTCTGGTACAGAGAGCTATGAATATGGCCATGGGTCAAAATCCAAATCGTACCCTCAGTAAACATCCCAATCCCCACTAAAATAGACTAAAATGGGTGGTGCACCTACCCCAAAATGGAACCATTGGATTTGACCCACAGCCATATCGACAAAGAAACACCTGGCTAGTCCGGCCAAATCGCGTATAAGGCTTGGGCTGGGATTTGTTTGGGCCTCATCTGTAAGGTTCAAACAAGCCTCGCCTGGGGAATTGGATTGCAAGCCTTTGGGATGGATGGTACGCAATGGGAAAGCCCGCCAGTTGGCTCCTAGGCCGAACGCCAGGTTGCGGCTGGAAAAACATTCCGCCTCCCTGACGAAGTCTTGACTTCAAACGGGTTCATACTTCCCCAGGTGTGCAGAACGGAGTTCCAAATTCCCAAGCTGTATCGCAGAACTTCCCCTTGAAGATGGGGGTGGGGGGTCCCCCACTTCCATTTTTCGAGTCTTCCCTTCAAGTCTTCCCCTCAAATGGGAAGACATCCCAAAGCCAACTCTTTGACCTGCCTCTTGGTTTCGGCCGAAAACCAAACAATGCCTTCGGTGTTGTTTCGTCCTGCAGCGGGGCGGACCACCTACGAGGCGAACCGACCGTGTCGACCCAGGAGCTTCAAGGATATCCCCTTTGGGTATCTCCAAACCCCAGAAGGCAAACAAATCCTTGCATCCGGCTTTCAGACGATCTCACGGGCTACACTGCTTGTTGCATGGACTAGATCGCGGCAGCCAGCCCACAGAACGCGACTATTTGCATGTCTGTTGGAAGTCAGAGCAAAGGGGAAAACCAACGGGGGAAACCGTTCTCGGTCCATTTTCTGCTTTGAGACATTCTGGCATTCTGGCGGAGAGGTCCAAGTGCTTTGCGTTTGGTTCATCTCTTCCCTTGCCTCTCGATGTGCTTGGGAAAGCAGCAGGCCAGAACCTGAGCGCAAACACGTGCTCGGTCGCGCTTGAATTGGCACTCGCCTACCCAAAAAAAAATCGGCCCTCGGGTTTTGACGAATTTGACACCACGTGAGCCGGTGGGCATCGGTGGGCCGGGGAATTTCCGCGGGGTTTTTTCCCGCTCGGGCTTGACCTCTCCAGTGGGCCGAAACCGTCTGAGCCCCAAGCGGCGCGCGCTTGGAGTTGTGGCTTGTCAAACAGGTCTTTCTCCTTGTTGTTCCCCTTTTTTTCCTTTTTTGCTTTGCTTTCGGTTTAGGATGATATTTTTTTTTGGGTGTGCTTCATGTGTCAACAGCGATGTCACATGCATGGCTCTTCCTGGGTTGACACGGGGAAGTGACATCCATTCCTCATGAGGACTCCATGTACTAGCCATGGATACGACTGGGTCCGAAATGGGAAAATCCAGTCCTTGTGGGGATATTCTGGCGGTGCCCTGTCCATCCTCTTTGGGATCATCTTGGCATCTGATTTTGCACAGGGGACTGTGGCAGGGCATCGCTCGTGTTTTTGTTGGACCTGTGTGGATGGTGTATCTGTTGTATTTGAGGGACCTCCTGCAAATGTCTGTCGTTTCTGCTGGTCTCAGCCAGACAAAAGGAAATCGCGAGGACAACAAAACAACAAAAAAAACAAAAACACAATCATCAGACAGTTGTTCCATTGGATGAAGCTTGCCCCAAACCTGAAACCAAAACAACTCAAAAAAAAACCATCAAACAAAAAACACAAATACAAGCCTGAGACTCTTTCTAGAAGTAGCCACTCAGTGTGCCAAGAGTTCTGGGAAATTTGCATTTGCAGTCCCTTTTCGGGTTGTGTTGTGCTGGTCTTGCTTTATTGGTTGTCTTGTGTTGTTTTCTTGGGTGGTTGAGTTTGGGCAGGCGTGATCCGATGGAAACACCGTCTGAGAACTGTTTTCAGCTTTGGTGTTTTCGTTGGCTTTGTTTTTTTTTGTTTTCTCGAGGTTGTTGGTGTTTTGGCTTTAGCACGGCTGATCCAGTGGATTTGTGTTATTGAAAATACTTCCTGCTTAAAGTTCCAGTTTGTCATTGAAATTCGACTTGAACTCGTGTTGAGTTAATTGTGATTGAATGATCATTGATGTGTTCTATATCTCAAATTGAATTTTAAAGATCCGCTTGAGGCAAGGAGTTCATGGCTAATGTCTAAATCTATTGCCTTGCTGAAAAATCCAGTTTGAAATGGCAATGCAAATTGAATTATGCTTCAAATGTTAGCTCAGTTGTAAACACAATTCTATTGGAAAGCACATCTTGCGAAAACATTGATAGAAATAGAAGTGGACTTTTATAAGTATCAGTTTGACATGAAATTCAACATCCTAAGAGGCTTCACATAGGATTGCATTTGTGATCCCTTGCTTGGGCGCCAAGTGGAGAGCCCCTCGCTTGTCCCACAAAAGAGGCTCGCAGGTTTTGTCTCCTTCACAGGGGGGATAGCTGTTTTTGGGCGAACCTTTTTGTCCCCAACAAAGGTGCCCAAAGAAGCGGGTCACAAACATGTTGGCCAAAAATAACATCTCCGTGTTGAAGAATATGTGAGCCTCTTATTTGGAAGTTTGGCTCCCAAGTTCTCCACTTGGGACCCCCAACAAAGGTGCCCAAACAAGGGGGTCGCAAAAAGGTTCGCCGCAAACATAATGCCCTTTTTGAGCTGTCCTGAACCGCATCCCCTTCAGTTTTTAAGGAACAACCCTGGCTCACGGCTCGGACATGAGAGGCTTAAAAGGGTCCCGTCGGGGCAAATTCTAAAAGGAGGGTCGGTTTCTGTGGTCGGGCAGCACTATTAGAACCCCCGAAAAGTGCTCAAAACCAACCATGAAAAACCCTAAGCTCAGCTGAGCTGCTTGAAACCTAACCTCCAAACCTAACCATGAGAAACCCTAACCTAAGCCCTCCATTTGCTCAAGTCCCCTGAAAAAAAAAAGGACGAAGAAGAACATCCAGTAGTGATAGACTCCCTTCAAATTCAACTGGGGAGAAAAAAAATAAACATCTCAACCAAACGGAAGCCGAGCTGAAGCTTCGCTTCGCTTCGCTCCGCTTGAGGGTCCGGGCATCCAGCGCCACCTGCACCGCTGTGGAGGCGCCAGGGGAGGCGCCCAGCAAACCGGCCATGGACCCGTCCTCCGCGGCCACCACCTGCCGAGGGCCGGCCAGGCCGCAGGCCGCTGGAGGCGGAATTAGGACAGCAACAAACAGATGTTTTGCCTGAGTAGTGGAAAACAAAGGGGATCCCAACAAAGCAAAAAAGCAAAAAGGGGAACTAAATGGAGGTGTGTGGGCTGGGTTTTTTGAAGGGGCCCAGGAATGATCGAAACTCTGTTCTGGAACTGGCCATCCGGGGCCGCAATCCAGAGCTCCGGCCATTTTTGCAGCTTCCTCAAGCTGCAAGACTTCCTTGAGGGCATGTTTGGCTGAAGGGGACACGGATTTCTGGGACTCCCCCAAGTCAGCGAAAGCCAAAACCCGAACGATCCCGCGCCTCGGTGCCGAACTGCAACACGCCTGCCGAGAACCGTCCCCCGTTTTCTGAGAAATGACTCGGAGAATCCCGGGGCGACGTTCCTAGGGTCTTCCCGTGGTTTTCTGGGACTCGTGCAGCCTCCGGCAAGTCTGGGCACAAATGAACCGCAAAGCTGCGAACCGCAGGCGGAATTCGAGCACCTCTCGGCTCAATAGAAAGTGAGGTACCAACCCTCAAAATGCCTCCCCGAAACAAGCAACCACCCTACAAAACTTCAGGGGGCAATATAGACTGCTTTAAGGGTGAGGGTCAAAACACGCCCGCGCAATTTTCCACGTGCAAGAAGCTGGTTGAAGAGGCTTAGGCCCGTGGACTTCCATTGGGAAGCTCGCCGAGCGATATGGCTTCAATGGAAGCTCCGTGCACGGGATCTACCAACATTGAGACTGTGTCCTTGGCGTTTTTGCGCAGCAGCGGAAGACTGGTGGCAAGCCAAACGAAAACACGTAAGTCATAATCAAAACCCGGTACAACAATGGTCTACCCAGAACCATGTAAATAATTAAGAAGGCGGCCGCAGCCATTTCTGGTTGGGGTTGTCCCTTACTAATCTTCATCTACCCAGGTTTTGATCGTGGCTCACGTAGTCCACTACAATAATGCACCGACGGACCAAGGAATGCCCTTTTTTTTCGCACCATCATCTCTATTTAAAAAAAGTGTTTCATCCCACAGCTCGTTGCTTGCCCGATCCGCCCCTTCCCTTCCGTCCAATCCGCCTGTCTTCTCAGGATCCGCTTTCATGATCTGAACCCGCTGCCCAGCGGTGACCAAAGACCAGTCACCTTCCTGTCGAGGAAGGACCCGAAATCTCCCACTCACGCGGCTCCGGCTTCGTTTTGCTTTTTTCCTTTTAAGTTGGAATTCGCGTTGTCTAGTGGTTTCAAAGGAAAACCCCGAGAAAACACCCCTTTTGGGGGTCCCCAAAAAACAAAAACAAAAAACTCAAAAATGGGGGGTGGATTTTCGTTCGGGATCTCCTTTTGGGGCACGTTCTGCAGCCAATTTGCGAGACAGCTGCTAGATGAACGGCCGGAAAAAGAACGAAAGAGCATCCAACATGGCTGTGGCTCCAAAAGCCGGTGCCAACATGGGTTGCCCTAGTAAGTGGAAACATGGACCAAAACCTGCGTACCACCTCCCGTTTAATTTTGAGCCACACCCATATCAGTTTTCTGCGCCAGTGGCTTGAAAGTTGTTTGGAGGTTCGGAGCACCTCTGGTTCCCTAGAGGCAAACTTCTCTTTGTCATGGGCATAGGCGTCCTTTTGGAATAATAGATGGGTTTCCCTGGTAAATGGAATAAAGCCCATCTAAACCAGTGCCTTCTATTTTTGACCACACTAACATAAAAAGGACACGCAAACTTGGACAAGCAGCCCGAATTGGCCTAGACGAGATCAAGCAAACCAAACGAGTTCACTCATCTGTGGGGATCCAAACACGCTTGGTCGCTTTGCGCGCTTTGTGTTGTGCTTTCTGTAGTTTTATGCTTTCTTTTGTTTTGGATTGTGTTGCGTTGCATGGGATGTGCTTGTTTCATACTATGGTTTGTATTCTGTCTCGTGTGTTGCGTGATGTTGTGTCGCGAGGTCGTATTGTGTGGAATGCGGTGTGTGTGTGTGTGTGTGTGTGTGTGTGTGTGTGTGTGTGTGTGTGTGTGTGTGTGTGTGTGTGTGTGTGTGTGTGTGTGTGTGTGTGTGTGTGTGGTGGGTGTGTGTGTGTGTGTGTGTGTGTGTGTGTGTGTGTGTGTGTGTGTGTGTGTGTGTGTGTGTGTGTGTGTGTGTGTGTGTGTGTGTGTGTGTGTGTGTGTGTGTGTGTGTGTGTGTGTGTGTGTGTGTGTGTGTGTGTGTGTGTGTGTGTGTGTGTGTGTGTGTGTGTGTGTGTGTGTGTGTGTGTGTGTGTGTGTGTGTGTGTGTGTGTGTGTGTGTGTGTGTGTGTGTGTGTGTGTGTGTCGTTGTGTTGTACACTTGCTTTTCGTGGTATTGACCTATGGCATGTGTGACAGGCGTGCCAGTTTCCCTTAACAAGCAACCGGGATGATAAACACCGGCTTCAACTGACAACGACGGATGGGATGATAGATTCACGCAAGGCTTCCAAAAGCCTGGCTAATGACTCTAGAGCCACGCATGGCACCCGCAACCCATGTGCAATTGAAACCCATTTGCAATTCAATAGAAGTGCCCTCACTGCGATTACGTGGTTGGTGTCAAGCAAAACACATGTCCAGCAGTGTCGGCGGATATGCTTTAAAAAAAAGAAGCAAACCTTGCTGATGTCGTGTCCCCGACAAAAAGGCCCCCAGTTTAGTCCAGTGAGGTCGCGGATGAGGGTTGCTTCATGCCACCACGGCACCGACTGCCCGCTTGGCGTCTCAACCTCCCCCGCTCTGTTTGCTTGGGCCCTCGAAATGCCGGCCTCAACTTTTGCTGGAAACAGTTCCAACAAAACAGTTCCAGCACCTGAAAGTTGAAGAGGCCCATGTCGGAACCCAAATCAAATCTTGGGAGTGAAAAGGCGATCGAAAAGCGCTTGCATTCCGCAGCCCTGGAAGACCCTGAGTCCAACACAGCTCTCTTTGTCGCCTGGATTGCAGCAAACCCTAAAACAAACACCACCGCGCCACAAGGCCCCCACGCCACCGACACATCAAAGCCACCAAAGCCACCAAAGCCACCAAAGCCACCAAAGCCACCAAAGCCACCAAAGCCACCAAAGCCACCAAAGCCACCAAAGCCACCACCACCACCACCACTACCACTCTACTAATTGTATTTTCTTAGGTGCATGCCTCCGCCTCTGGCATGAACTCCCTCAGCTCAGCCAGCTTCTGCGACTTGGTCGTCAGAAGCCTCGGCAAGCGCCGAAGCGCCGGCTCTCTGTCTCAAGCCGAGACAACTCTCAGCCCAGAGCCTATCTGGAACGCCGCCGTTCCGGGACCCTTGAAGCATAGGTTTGGTCCAAGGGCACTGAGGTACTCTAGTGGTGGAGGTTGAACAAAAGCCCAGTTCCAATAAACCAGTACTAAGGGCTGGCTGTCTAAACAAACCTCATCTGTTGAAAGATATTGTGACCTTCTGCAATGCTTCCTTGAGGTATCAGCTATATTTTGTCATCCTTCACGTCTCTGCCTGTGGGTTCTGCGCTTCACCTGTTTGCAGGTCACCTTTGGGCTTTAACAGGTCCATCGTGTTTGCTTATTGCTTTTCACCACCTTTTTTCCACCGGCTTGTTTTGTTTGCGTCGGGTATTCGCTGGCCATCGAGCCGTCTTGGACGGAGCTTGGACTGCGATGTGCAAAAGGCAAAAGGTGAAACACCGGTAGAGTACAACCCTCGTTTTGTAGATGACCTGTTGAGCCACACGGGGATTCCTTGAACAACCTGCCGAACACACTAACTCTTGGGATTGCCTGGCGCAGATTCGAATCCCGAATTGCACCCAACACAATCCAGTTAGAGGAACTTCATCTTAGGAACTGCGTGGTTTGGTTCCATGTCTATTTGAATTCGGAAGGAAGCGCTTGAGGATCCCAATACCTGGATTCGAATCCAAATCCCACGCTGAAACCTGATGTTCAGTGGATCAAGGACCAAGAATACCGTCTCAAAGGCCTAGAGAAAGGTTTGGATGCGCTTTTTTGTGGATTTCGACCTGTCCTTCCCGCAGTTGGTATCTTTTAGTACTCTTTTAACTTCCTACAGGGGTGGATCCACAAAAGCCGTTTCCTAGACAAGGCGTTGGAACCTTCCCCCCTAGGAAACGAATTGGATTCGCATGTCGTGGATTATGCCTTCTCTTTTTTGTGAGTCCCATGTTTATACTCTTTTGATATTTAGGATGGATCCACAAATCATCCGAACGGTTTCCACCCCATGCCTCTGAAGCCTAGCCACGCGACAAGACCCTTCAAAAGTTGCTCGCAAAATGTCAGCTTCCCATTTTCGGGGCTTTGTGTTGGTCAAATCGACCCTCAAGAACCAGCGGTTGAAACCCAAATCCCAAGCGCCAAGCAATGGCTGCGTGAAAGCAGGCTGCCTTTTGGCTGAAACAGTCAAGCAAGTGGCCAACAAACTTATCGCAAACAACAACCAATCAAGCAACCAACAAACCAACAAGAAACATAAACACACCACAACACAACATTTCAAACCACAACACTACACAGAAAAAAGACAATCATCAGGCAGACCGGCAAGCAAACAACAAACGAGCAACAAACAAGCAATGACACACAACAAAAACACACAAACATAACACAAAAGTGAAAAACAACGCAACACAAAACAAACAACCAGCCAACCAACAAACCAACCAACCATCCAACCAAGCAAATAGACAAGCAAATAGACAAGCAAGCAAGCAAGCAAGCAAGCAAGCAAGCAAGCAAGCAAGCAAGCAAGCAAGCAAGCAAGCAAGCAAAAACAGACACAGACAAACAAACAAACAAACAAACAAACAAGCAAGCAAGCAAACAGACAGACAGACAAACAAACAAAGAATACAACAAACACGCAACCAAGCAAACACACACACACAAACACCAACAAACAAACAAACAACAATCAAACCAGCACACCAACCAACGAACCAACCAAACAAACAACCAACCAAAAAAGCAACCAACCATGTAAACACACAAACACAAACACAAACACAGAGACAAACAAACAAGAAACGAACACACAACCAAACATACAAACAAACACAGCAACAATAAGCAAACAAACAACACACCGCAACACAACACAACACATCCATACAAAGAACCAAGTCAAACAAAGCATTCAACATACCAAGCACACAAACACACACATCAATAAACACGCAACCAACCACACAACCAAACACACAGCCAGCCAGCCAGCCAGCCAGCCAGCCAGCCAGCCAGCCAGCCAGCCAAACAAACAAACAAACAAACAAACAAACAAACAAACAAACACACAAACAAGCAAACAAACAAACAAACAAACAAACAAACAAACAAATAAACAAACAAACGGACGAACAAACAAACGAACGAACGAACAAACAAACAAACAAACACACAGGCAAACAAACCCATCATCCAACCAACAAGTAAACACGCCAGCCAATCACACAAACAACCAGCAACAAACAAAACAATCAAATGACACAACTCACAAGAAGCACAAACACACAAAAAACAAACAAACAAACAAACAAACAAACAAACAAGGGCATGGGGAACGAGCTCCAACTTTTGCCACACAAACACCTAATTTCTAATGTCCTGGAGGGTACATGCAGGGATCTGATCAAATTAACTGTGGCTCACTTGGTTTGCACCCCAATTGCGTGCTTAAGAATGGATAGCAACAACCATGATGTCCCATGTCCACGACTACATGCGCATGCAAACTTAAAATAAAGTCAGGGCATTTCAGGGCATTTCAGTAGGGCTGCACAAACAGTCCTACTATGTCCTACTAAACCCCCATGAAGTATCCTCCCACCAACTAACATGGAACCTGGTTTTGGGGGTCCTTGTTTGGACCATGTTCCTTTTGAAGGGAACCCGGTCCCTGTGTGACCCTTTCAGGAGGGGTGCACAAACAGTCCTCCTTCCCTGTCAGGTTCCATGTGAAATGGGTGGCGGTGGGGGGGGTATTTTATTTGATTGGTTGTTTGGCAACGTTCCGTTTTGGGGGTCCTTGTTTGGAAACCATGTTCCTTACAAAGGGACCCGGTCCCTATCCGACCCTCCATGCGAAATGGGTAAGCGAGGTGCTGGCGAAGGAGGTAGAGGGACAGGTCCAGGTTCCTGAGCCCGGCCGCCGCGGCCGGCAGGATGTTGCTGAGCCTCGGCCGGGCGCTTCGGAGCTTCGGAGCTTCGGAGCTTCGGCGCCTGGACTCCGAGGCTTACCAAAATAAACTGCAGGGTGAATCTATAAAATCTGTGGAGCTGTCACATATTCATTGCCTATTTGCGTCACACATGTACATGTGTATCATGTTTGCAGGTGTATATATATATATATATATATATGTATGTACATTATATATATATATCATGATCATATACATGGGGTATGTTTCAGGGACCGGACATTGGAGGGGGGGGGGCTCTGGCAGACTTCATGTTTTGGCAACATTCATGGCTTGCAGTTGGGTTCGCATCTCCCATGGGCGACCATCTGAGATACGGGCCCCTTTTGGCAAAGAGAATACAGGGTGCTTGCGGAGGGTCACAACCCTAACATTTTGCGGGACGACTTCACCATCCCTTAGGTTCCTGGGTATCTTCCATGTTTGGGGCGCTTTTGAACAAAGCTCATCATGGATTTGGAAGGACAAAGTGTCATCTTCGAGTCGTTTGATCCTTCCAAACTGTGGTTGGCCCGGGAATCCTCTTGGCCCCTTTTGGCCGCTGAAAACAGTCCAACCTCATTGGTTCATGGTCATGGCTCTACTCGGAATCCTTCTCATTGCCTGAAATCCCAGCTAGGTCCACTATGTGTTTCCCTAACAACCCGGGCGTTTTGAGGGTGGTTTCAAAGGGAAACAAAAGCGACACCAGGGTTCCATATTTTGAGACCCCATATGCCGGCACCGTGGGGGGTGCAGCGGTGCATGACAGCACTTGATCCCTCAGCTTTCCGGCTACGCCCGGTGTCCCAGTGGTCATTACTAAGCATCTTTGCTAGAAGTACGCTCCAACCCAAACACGGAACCCGAAAGCGGGCCCAGGAAAGCAATTTCCTCCAAGGACCCTTTCTCAACTTTCGTGGTATTCCATGCTTGTTCTTTGGGCGGAACGTCTTGAGGTATGGTGCTGCAACCATATCCCCACCAGTGGCTTTTCCTTAGCCAGGTTTGGCAGGGGAAGGCGCGGGGCGGGCCCTTCCAAGCATGTGCCCCGAAGACGACTCTCTGAATTATTTCGGGTTTAAGTTAAGACCTTACCAAACACCGGAAATGAGGCAAGGGCCTTGTTCCCGCACTGAACGAGGCAGGCGCACTCAGACTCAGAAAAACAAGCTGAGCAGCTTTCTTTGGGCTTCCCAAACACCCTCCCGAATCTTCCCCCCACCCCCCAACCGCGGTCCCATTTCAAGGAAACTCACTTAAAGTTGGCAAACCAAAAGGTAATGTTTAGGGCTATCCCAAGATAAACTGGAGCTGGAGCCCTCTCCGCGTGTGTCCTTCCTCGGCCACAATGGGTTAACCCAGGATTTCTTGCCAAGGGCCGCTAGCTGACCACTGGCCGCTCGCCTAATGGGCACTGGGGCCGTGACCTAATGGACCTGAACAGGTCCATCATCGAGCCGCTCTTGAGAAACCTGACGATCTGCTGACAGGTCGAACATGCTCGCAGGTTCATCACTTGCGCATCCTGTTGGATTTCATTCAAAATGCGCCTTTTCATGAGCTAAGGCTATAACTCACCTATCAGAAGCCCCAAAGTCAGGGATGGTCAGCAGGGATCACTTTCAGGGGAACCCACACATGGTGGTGTCTTAAATAAGGCTCTGCCCAAACAAGAACATATGCAGTGCTTGTTGCGTCCCTTCAATTTCTTTCCTCAGAGTACCGACTCTACACAGAATCAGTCTGAAACGGACCCTCGAGTGGCTGAGTGAGGCTGAACTCTGGCAATTGGCCAACAAATTCCAATGTTTGGCCTCCGAATTGCCAGATGGCCATCAGATATGAGCTTTCAGTGAGCGGCACCCAAAGAGGTGGGTGGGTGCACACACTTCCCCGTGTATCTTTCAAACTCATACGCAAATGGACCTTGATACACACCCATCCGGACAAATTCTAGGCCAACAGCCTGAAAGAGCCGACATGATGGTCGACTGGGGCGGGGGGTATCTACAAATGTTACCACAAGTTCAACACCTGAAATACAAATGGCTTCCCAAGTGAAGAAACTTAGCCATGGTGTTCGATCGTTTGACCCACCGGTCATCAATCGGTAGGTTTATCTTTACGAAAAACAATACGGCCATGCCAAGCTCCCATGCCCCTTGCGCGGCCAGCTTGAAACCTGCCTGGAGCCTGAACATGTGTGGCTGTTTGTGGGTCCTCCCTTTGAAGAGACTGAGTGACTGGACAATTCTGGGATTCCCCCCAAAACAACAGCAGGCGGAAAGTTCATGATCCTGGGCGCCAGAATTTGCCCCACCCCCGCTAACGCTTGGGACGTGCGCCAGGTCACTCCGCTCCTAAAAAACACAAACCAAAACAACCACACCCACCCCCTTTGACACCCCAACCTGCACAAAAATCCGAAGAAATACAACAGTCCTCCATTCAACACCCCTTGCCAGCAAGCGAACAACAAACACATTAAAACAAAACGGGTCGCACCAAATACACACCAAACCAAACAGAACAAAGCAACACCAACCAACCAAACAGCAAACAAACCAGCAAACAGACAAGCAAGCACACACCACAACACAAACGAAAGGAACCAAATAGAAAAACACACAAAACAAAAGCAAGACAGACAGACAGACAGACAGACAGACAGACAGACAGATAGACAAACAGACAAACAGACAGGCAGGCAGGCAGGCAGGCAGGCAGGCAAGCAAGCAAGCAAGCACACACACACACACAAAAAACACACAAGCCAAACCAAACCAAACCAAACCAACAAACCAACCAACAAACAAACAAACAATCAAACAAACCAGACAACCAACAAACCAACCAACCAACCAACAAAGAAACAATCAAACAAACAGACAAGCAATCAAACAAACATCCACACCAACCAAGCAACCAACCAAACAACCAACCAACAAAAAAAAACAATGACACAAACACACAAACAACCAACCGACCTAGCAAGCAAGCAAACAATCAAACAATCAAGCAACGACACACAAACAAAAAGACAAGGAACCAAAAACACAAACATACATACATAAATGCATGCATGCATACAAACAAACAAACAAACAAACACACAAACAACCAAACACACAAATAAACAAACACACACAAACAAACAAACACACACAAACAAACCAACAAACACACACACACACAAACAAACAAACAAACACACACACACAAACAAACAAACAAACAAACAAACAAACAAACAAACAAACACACACACAAAAAGACAAACAAACAAACAACCAACCAACAAACAACCAATTACACAAACAAGAACACACAGGAAAACAAGACAAACAGGCAAACAGGCAAACATACTAACAAACTAACTAACTAACAAGGACAGCAACCAAGCAACACAACAAAACACTCACAATCAAGCAAACAAACGACAAGTGCACAAAACCAACAAGCAAGCAAGCAAGCAAGCAAGCAAGCAAACAAAACAAACAAATAATCAAGCACACACACACAACATCCAAACACACAAACAGACACACAGAAAGACAAACAAACCACTTATCAAGCAATCAAGCAGCACAGCACGGAAGCAAGCAATCAATGCAAGGAACCAACAAACCGAATCAAACAAACAAACAAACAAACAAACAAACAAACAAGCAAGTTCAAGCAGCGAAACAATCACAAAACCAGCAAACTATCAAAGAAACAAGAAAAAACAACAAACCAACAAGCAGGACATCAAACAAATATGCAAGGAAGCAAGCAATCAAGCAAACAAACAACAAGCGCACAAGAAAACAAACGAACAGGCAAGCAAGCAAGCAAGCAAGCGCTCAAGCACGCAAGCAAGCAATCAAACAAGCAAACAAACAACCAACCAACCAAACAAACACGCAATCACACAAACAATCAAAAAGCACAAACGCAAGCAAGCAAGCAAGCAAGCAATCAAGCATCACAACAAGCAAGCAATCAATCAAACAACAAGCAATCAGACAAACAAACAATCAAGCAAACAATCAAACAAAGAAACACACAAACAAAACAAACAAACAAACAAACAAACAATGAGACAAGCAAACAAACATGCAAACAAGCAATTCAACAAGCGAGCAAACAATTAATCAAGCAAACAAACAAAACACGCATTCATTCAAGCTGACAAATAAACACGCAAGCAAGCAAACAAACAATCAAGCAAGCAAGCAAGTAAACAAGCAAGCAATCAAACAATCAGCACAAAGAAGCAAGCATTCAAACAAGGAAGAAGGCAAACAAGCAGGCAAACAAGCAAGCCAACAAGCAAACAAGCAAGCAAACAAGCCAGCAAGCAGCAAGCAAGCCAGCAAGCAGCAAGCAGTCAGCAAGCAAGCAAGCAAGCAAACAAGCAAACAAGCAAGAAAGGGAAGCAAGGAAGCAATGAAGCAAGGAAGCAAGAAAGCAAGCAAGCAGCAAGAAAGCAAGCAAGCAAGCAAGCAGGCAGGCAGGCAAGCAAGCAAGCAGGCAAGCAAGCAAGCAAGCAAGCAAGCAAGGAAAAAGGAAGCAAAGAGCAATCAATCAAAAATAAAAAACAAACAAAAAACAAGCAAGCAAGTAAGCAATCAAGCAAACCACCAAGCAAACACACAAAGAAAGAAACCAAGCAATCACACAATCAGCACAAACAAGCAAGCATTCAAACAAGGAAGCAGGCAAACAAGCAGGCAATCAACAAACAAACATGCAAACAAACAAGCAGGCAATCAACAAACAAACAAGCAAACAAACAACAGCATTCTTTCACTCAAATTGCCATGCCTCGCCTGGGGCTGAAGCCAGCGAAGGGTCCAAAGAGCAGCAAAGGCTTGCCCCCGATGACCCGGGCATCCAGGTGCGGCACCTGGGTCTGGGTGGGTGGCTAGATGGTTTCGTTGGTTTGATGCTCGCGACCTTGGCTGGGTAGGTGGCTGGTGTGTAGGTCGGTTTCTTGTGTGAACGTCGGCACTTGCTTCTAAAGGGCCCTTGTGAAGCTCCCTGATACGGCTTCCTTCAGGAGGTCTGTGCCAAAGTGGAAATTCCCGTGACTTCATGACTTAGGGGCTGCCTCTGGTATCACAGAAACCTGGGCCTGGAACCAGGGCCGCCCCATTTCCCACAGGGCTGGCCCGAGCCTTTGGTGGACTGATGGGGCTTACAGTCCAGGGGCCAAGGAGTTAGCCCCTTGGAGCTTCCCACTTTACCTTCAAGGAGTGTTTGATCCTCGGGGGTGACGACTTCTTCGAAGCTTCAGGGCGATTTCAGAGATGTTGCTTTTCCTTCTTTAGATAGCTAGATAGCTAGATAGATAGATCGCTAGCTAGATAGATAGATATGGATGGATGGATATAGATAGATAGCTAAGATAAGATAAGATAAGATAAGATAGGCTCCCTCCGAAACTTTGACCCATTCCCAATTCCGGTGTAAGAATTCCCTTGTTCAAAGCGAGTTTGTGGGTACCCAAAAGCCGGGGTTTACGGGGTCCACTTAAACAAACCCGACCGAAGCTCACACACCGAGTTTCGAGTTGCCTGTCCCTGGACTGGTTTGCTTGCTAATTGCCTTCGCTCGATGGAGGTGAAGTGGCTTCCCATGTGCCCTCAAAGAACCAGGAGTTGAACCACCCCAAAGCAATCCCAAGCCACCAGTTAGGAGGAAGCTGAAGGCCAACAAACAGAATTCCTCTGCTGGCTGATTGATGGCTGCGCCAGATGTCTGCCCACGAGTTGAATGGCGGTCAATAGTCAACACTTCTTGGGTGCAGAGAGGGCGACTTGACCAGTTCTGTCACCTTTTGGCACGACTTCTTGGACCCCTGCGCCTGGCTTCGATTTCATGCCACGGTCTCATTATTTGTTGGACAGTCCTTTCGAGGGAACACCAACAATAGACACTGCACATGCAAAGTGTCTCCTGGCGACCCCTCCGTCAACAGACGGGATGATTTATGAGGGCCAAATCTTCGTGCAAGCGCTGACTGGGTCATCAAAGTGACATTATCAGGTCTATACCTTTTACTTACTAAATGGTGGCTACGGCAAAGCACCAAGGAGTGATTTTGAGAACCCTCAACATGTTCACTTTCAAGATGTCCCAAGAAAATAATAACTTAAGAATCCAAAGTCCCATTCAAAACCCAGGGATCCACGAATGCTGAGAGGAGGACTGACATGGGCGGCGCACCGATGGCTGCCTTGCCGTAGACCTTGCTCTGGTGCTTTGCCACAACTTCCTGAGGCGGAAGATCTGATACCTTCTGCCCCCTACTCCGCATACCAGCTTTCTAAATGTATGTATGGACAAACTTGGTTCCCCATGACAAACACCTCCCTTTTTTAGTCAGGGCTTGACATCACACCCTTAGGTATTTGGAGTCAATTTGGAAAAGACCCTTGGCCGCCCACTACTGGAATCTAGGAAATGGTTGGGAGGTTCTTCGCACATTCCCTACTTAGAACCAGCAAGCTGGGCCCTTATTGGTAGCAGGGCCCCGAAACAGCAAACAAATCAACTGGGGAAACACGTGTTTGATCCTTTGTGGGCCCCTGGCGCATTGATCTGGTTAAGGTTTACCGCTTGCGTCTTCTGGCTTGCGTCTTCTGAGTCTGGCACAAAGAAGGAACGGCAACACTTGTTTGTTGTCCAATGGATTGTTTAAATTCACGGAAAAGCTACTCACACTGAGAAAGGAGCTGAAATTCACTAGAGGGCCACTTCTAAAAAAATGGCGGCGTCCTTGACAATACAGGAGAGAGCTACATTTGAAGACAACCCTCTGTCGACTTGTGGAGTAAAGAACCGCTCTAGCTTGCCAAAGCATGCCTTGCCAACCGCAAGCTTTTCGGCACGTGCACGCGTGCACTTGCAGGGCGAGCGCGAGCAAAATCACATCAGTTGAAGTGCAGTGCAAGAAATGCAAAATGTTAACAATAGTTGAACCAGTAAACTTCACCGATATCCTAGAATCGCATGTCATCAAAAGAACCTTTTAGGGCCATTCCATGTGAGCAACAACAACTAGAAGCTCCCAGTTGTTTTGGGGATTCTGCCCTCCCCCCCTCCCTTTTCCCTCACTTTGTGCGCTCAGATTGGAGCAAGTGCGATCCGACCAAGTCCTCAACAAAGCCCTGGAAAGGCAAATTGCCGCCGGGCGACACGTGGAACATCCCAATTGCTCATCCAACTCGCGTTCTTCCCCTCCAAAGGGATAGTCTTACTCCGATCTGCGCACTTGTTGGGGTTCGAACGTTCGACCCCCTGAAGTTGGTTCCACTTATTTCGGGCCTATAACAAGCCAAATCCTATCTTTGCCCTAAAACAATACAACTTGTTACTTGCTGCTTGTCAGATGGAATAATAATCCTTTCCCCCTGCAAGGGTTCCACTTGTGTCTGGTTGGGGAAAGCAAGCACATTTCCATCTGTGACTCCTAGCAACAAATATTAAGCTTGTTGCTGGGGAACAATAAAAAACATACTCCCCAATATCTTCGCCATCATGTTCCCCATGTTTCTCCCTCCCTTTGGTTGCCGGTTTGTTTCCCTGTGGAACCCCTAAAGAAGCAAAAACCCAAGCGGCCTACTCAACCCAAGCTGCGGGGTTCTGGCAGACCAGGAACTCCCCGCTGATCCTGAGCTCGGTGTCTCAAGCGGCGTGGCCGGGGACATCCCTCAAACCAAGAGAAATGGACAAATCACCCCGTGATAGCCTTCACACTACGTTTTGAACATTGAATATTGCCCCTCCCCCCCAAAAAAAAAGTGGGGGGTGGGTGGGGGGGTAGGGCAAATAATGTTCCTTTATAGGCAATTTAAGGGTCCAGTTGATCTCAGATCTCTCACCGAAAGACAAATGTGGGAAAGGGTCGGCCAATCCTAGTCCTTGGCCTACTCCCAAGGTCGCCGCCTTAATCTCCCCACCCCAACCCCCCAAGCATAAGGCATCAGTGGGTTTGGTTCCGACACTTCAGCCAAGGAGCGGGAAACCCATGAAGCCTTTGATCTGTGGGATGCCTGCCTTCTGAAGCAGTGGCAGCGCATAGCCCCCAGCTCCTGGGAGAGGGGGGCTGTTTGGCTGTTTTGGGCTCGATCTTTAGGGAAACCACCAAGTTCAGGGATTCCCCCACTTGGAGACAAACCCAACATCTTCATGCGAAGCTCTGATCATGCCAGTGAATCTCACCAGTTTGTGCTCGACCTTTCAGGCACACTTAGACGCCTGGCAGACCGAAACAATTGGTGTAGGGAATGAATCGGAGTTGGATTGCATGGTGTTAATATACCAACATTCTAGCGGTGCGATGTTATGTTGCATGTCATGGAAATCGAAGGCCTGGGAGACCACGCATTGCAAGCCTGTTTTGGATGGGCGTTGAGAGTTCCCTCAATTTGGGTTGTCAGAATTGGGGGCCCTTCATGGCCTCTCAAAGGTCCAAGCTGGCCGTCCTCAGACCCGCCGCTAAAAGTTTCACTTTCAGTGGGTTAAATGGAAACTGCCGCCAAACTAACCAAAAGCTAAAAAATGCTAAGGCACCGGATGGCTGGGGGCCTCCAAGTAATAAAATTGGGGCCCAATGAAGTACTCCCTCCAAAAAAGGCGGGCCTTTTGACAAAACGCTCGGAGCCGCATTTCCGCGCCTATAAAAACGAAGTTGGCCCTATACTTCACAGGCCGACCCAGCGCCTTGGCCTTCCTGCCAATGCGGCGAGCCGGCCGGCCGGCCACTCCGCGGAGGGGTGGGTGGGACGGGGTGGGGGACGGGGTTGGAGCATCACAACTCGAAATGGTGTGGGCCATAAATGTCCTTAAGAAAAAGCCTCATACCTGTTGTCTTGAAGCCCCAGAGGTTGGCCATCCCTACCCTCATGTTCTGTACAAAGGACCCCCTGAAATGGTTCAAGTCTCTCCCTTCAAAACCGCAAGGCGGGTTTCAGTTCATGGCTATTGGTCGACGGGAATGGCAGGGTGCTTCGGCATGAACAAGCCTGGTGCTCAAGGGCCTTGTTGCAGGGAGGTGGTCGCATATGTAGCATCCAACACAAGTGGCCCAATTGACGCCTGTCGAACACCCTGGAAGATACCCCGGAAAAAAAAATGAAAGTGGGAAAGGGATTGTTAAACTTCCCAGAGGCTTATGTTGGGGCCATGTTCAAATGATTGAGCCTGCTCCGATGCAAGGGGGTCTCTAACAGACCACAATGGAATGTCACTAGGAGCCGATGTCTTGTCCACTTGAGAAAATTATGCACACCCCTCACGAGGAAAAAAACACATCGTGGGCGAGTCTTTTCCTGTTTGTTTCATGTGCTTCAAAAAGAACATTGGGAAATCCATAATAAGATTCAACCATCTGGATAATCGGAACAGCTCAGAGCATACTGAATCAACCAAAAGCAGATCAGCACAAGTTATGTTCTTTTGATTTGGTACGTCTTTGCGGTTGTGGGAACTTGTAGTTGACGATGCGAATAAACATTAGGAATCTACCTTCTATATCCCACACATCATTGGTGGGTTCCATGTCAAATCTCAGATGCCCAATGGATTTCCATGGGACAAAAAGGGCACCTTTTTTGGGTTGGTTGAGTTTCAAGGAGAACCCTTACCTAGGTCCTCCAGAAGAGAGGTTGGAACAAGGGTACCCGTTTTTTCTGTAGTCTATTTTAGTTAGGGAACCCTCCCAACCAAGAAAGGGGTGAGAAAGGGCACTACTGGGGGACCTAGCTTACCCACAAAAAGGGCACCACTGGGCAACAAAGACATTGACGGTAGCTCAGGGGCCCTGCCTGGTGGTGACCACCCAGGTTTCATCGTAAAGGCCGCTCCTTCGACGGCCGGCGACGCGTCCGCCGTCTTTGGCCACGGGTCGAAAGCGTTCGTCTCATGAATCAAGGAGCGCCTTTCAAGGCACACAAGGGCGGGGGCATTTTTGCCTTCTGAGTTTTGCAGATACGATTTTGGAAGAAACTCCCAACCAGCAAGTCTTACCTGTCCCGTGTGACGCCCGTTAAGAAGGGTGACGCTCGCTGTTCTGGTTGCATGGTGGGCAGAAATGGCCACGAATGAAACGGGAGGGCGCCAAACCAAAGGAAACCTTCATCGATACCACTTGGTCGACTGTGGGTATGCAGTGCGCGACAAAACTAGGGACTCTGCAGGGGGTTGGTTTTCTAGTTGTCCTTTCACAGTCCGCAAAGGGGCCCCGCTTTGGTTTTCGCAGGCAGGCACGCACGCACGCACCCACACACACACTCACATCCAGTCATGTGCAGAATTAGAAGGATATAGTCTTGTGCTTGGTCCACCGATTTAGGAAAGGTGCGCGTCAAAAACTGTAGGCAAGCACACAAAGAGCGGGTCGCTCTGGGGCCTGCGCTTTTTGAACATGGCATTTCAGCATGATCACACGCAGCATTTTCTATAGTGTGTGCCCAACATGTGTCTAGAACATATTGTGATTGTGCATATATATATATACATATATGTTATATATATATATATATTTTAATATATATATATACACATGTATATCATGTCTATCGTTGTACGGCTTATCGGTATGCTGTCGATCATGAGAGTTCAAGCTTGCTTCCACGACACTTGTACCATATGTGAGTATGTGCTTGACACAGCCCTAGAGTGCTTCGGGCAAAGGTTTGGTGTTTGCCTATTTGCTATTTTGGTATCTAGTTTGTCCAGCTTGCCCTTGCATCTCCAATTGAGGAAGGCTTCCCCTCCAAACCCAGAATGAAACGTTGGATTCTAGTCAGTATTTAGTGAACCTTCACATGCAACATATTGAACAGGAGGTCCCAAGAGTTTTGGTTCCTTTGGTTTCCGCGTTCAAAGGGCGGCAACCAGCAGTCATTGTCCAACGACAAGATGTCCCGAGTCGACGAATCTTAGCTGGTCCAAGCCACTCGTCCCTCTTGAAGTCGCACCTGGCCATCGTGATGCACGGGGCATGAAATTCCCTGAGAGGCCTCCAATGGACACTCCTGAAGCAGGGATCCGGATGCATACACCTCTGAATATTGCAACTTGTAAATAGCAGTGTTTCAAATGGGTGCAACATGTATCTTTTAAGGAGCCCTGTCATATTGTGGGCACAAGGCATGAGGCCCTTTGTAGGGCGTTCTTCGGCATTATCTCGGCCTTGCTGGGACTGCGTGTCCCGTTTTGAGGGCGCCTCGTGATCATAGGAATGTGCTGTTTAGAATGATGATTTCCGTGAGGGAAACCCTTCCACCGAGATTCCTGAAGAGTTCCAGGAGGAAAACCAACCCCTTGCTCAGCATGTTCGAGCACTGAACCATCCCTAACCTTTTGTGGGCGCGGCATCGCCTTTCTGTGATACCAAAGCCGCGGATGACTCAGCTGAACAGAAAACAAATTCTCCCATCCGAAGTTCCAGGTGGCCGCGGGGGAAACAAGGGGATTTCTGTTTTCCTTGGTGCGATAGGTAGGGAAGGTGGGAATGACATAATGACCCCGAAAACAAATTCATCGCTTGTGGGACTTGTTTTGTGGTTTGCGCCCCTAGGTTCATGTTTTTCTCATTCCCTACCGCACCGGCAAGTTTCGGACGGGGTTTCAAGGGACCTTCGAACCGGGGAGTCAAGAGCACTGGAGGTTTGAGACTGGCCGATGGCTTGTGCTTGAGTGAGTGGGAAACACCCTCCAAATGTCAAAGACATTCGTCTCAAACTTCAGCCTGACAGGGGAGCCAAGGCAACCGTGAAATTGGCATCGGGGAAATCTGAGACATGACCCATGAGAGAATCCCCGACGTTTTCGAGCGCTCCATGAAACAACCCATGGCAGCCCTTCAAAAAAAGGCGCGACGACAGGAACATCAGGGCCAACATGGGCGGAGAGTAACAATGGGGCGCGCTCAGTTCCCGGATCCCAACAAAGGTGGCCACCTCCAAGTTGATTGAGTCACCGAAGGAAGGTAAATGTGGGGCGGGGGAACTCCTTCTGGCTTCAAAGTAAAACCAAAGCTAAACCAACCAGTTTGGGGATTTCCCCTGGTTTGCAACACACCGTGGTCAAAACACGAGCCCTGACCCGTCAAAATTGCTGATGTACTGTTTGATGTTTCAAGTTCAGGTTGGTTCCGCTCCCCATATAGCGAGTAGATTCTGGTGAGGTGAAGCAAAGTCCACTACAGAGTAAAACATGGGGCTTAAAACATGGGGCTTCGTGCGCGACCCATGTCACGCCTGTAAAACTACAAAGCTCGGTGATTCGTTGCTGGGGTGCCGTGGTAAAGACTCCTTCGTGGGCGTTGGAGACTCCTCCAAAATTACGTTGGTTTTGCTGGGGGTTCCATGCTCTGAAGCGTACTTCATTATTGGGGAAACCGGGTAGACCGATTCAAACTTTTGAAGTTTCTGCTGACTCTTTTGGGGGAACCCAGGGCTCTCTTCAAAACATTCAATGTTTTCCAAGGGAACATCACACTTAAGCTACAAGAAGGTGCGCGAGTTCTAGAGCTAGTTTGGAGGACAAGATGGACAACCCTCAGTTTCCACATAAAGGCCCACGGAAGGGAATGTGTCTTTGATTGGTTGCTGGGACAATTTTTAGTCCATGGTTCAACGCTTTTGATGCGAGTATCTTCCATTTGCTTGCGCGTCCTGGGAAAAATAAAAAAATATGTCCAGTAGCGATATATTACCTTTAAAACCAACAGGAGAAAGTAAGACATCTGCTTAAACCAATGGAAGTTTTTAAGCCGTTCGAGTCCCAAGCTTGCCGCTTGGCCAACGGACTTGGATCCCGGAAAAACTTGTGGTTTCGGAGTGGTTTCGTGTTGATTCCCAAGGCAGATCTTCAAATTGGCGATCCCCGAGAAGCAAACCTCAAGCTCTTACTTGAGCACTTCCCTGACAAAATTCCGCCAGTATGCAACAAGTGAAACTAGGAAGTCCGCGCTCGAGCTAGACAAAAACAACTATAACAGCAAACAACGTATCCAAACCCAAGCATGACAATCTCGAAACGATTCCTTTCTTGAGTGCTAAATAGGAGCTTTCGCAACGTTAGAACCTTGCCCATTCTCCTTTGGGATTCCCGTCGGAACACGCTAGTTAACTCCTAGTTGCTTTGGCCCCACTTTGCCCACTGAGGGCCTCAAAATCACCGTGCAAATGATGTGTTAACAAACCACGGGTTGATTTCTGGGACTTTGCGTTTCTTTAGTCCCTTGGTTTGATTGGCCAGGCTCAAGAAGAATCACTGGCTTTGAAACCTGCCTTTTGCCCTTGTGCTCCTTGGTCAGTGAGAAAAATGGCCATCCCCCGCTCTGCCCCCTTTGCTCGTCCTTTCAACCCAGCCAGCTCTCCTTTCGTTTGACTCTTCCTAGCCGGGATCAACGAAATGAGCTTCCATTTGCTTAGGTTCTCTGGAAAAATTAAACACGTATCCAGTAGTGATAGATTCCCTTTAAGACCAACAGGACAGAACAAAGCAACGACCTGAAGCAAATGGAAGTAAGGAACCCCACCGCTTCCGCTCACATCACTTCGCTCGCTTCACTTCGTTCGCATCTCGCCGAAGGCACACTTCGGTGAGGAGCTGCACATCGCCGCCCAAGGAGATGAAGGCCTTGGTGAGCTCCTGACGAGAAAACAACGGCTCGATCCGCTAGTGTATGGGTGTGCCGTATGCGTGTGTGTCTTGTCTGGGACCCACACGACGAAAAAAAAACTAGAGGACGATTGGCCCGAAAGCATTTTTCCACAGGTGCTCATCTAGCCGCGGAGACACCTTTTTACATCGCTGCGGCGAGCGTGTCTGCGCGCGGCGATGCTCAGTGTGTATGGTCACATGAGAGCTCCATCTCATCATCCTACTTTCCTCTCGAACTGCGCCGCGCGATTTCTCACGAAAGTGGTCTGCGCAAGCTGCATTGTTCCAGGCTGCTGCGCGCAAGTTGCTCTCTGCAAGCTGCTGCGCGCAAGTGCTCTGTGCAAGTTGCTCTGCGCAAGTGCTCTGAGCAAGTTGCTCTGCGCAAGTGCTCTGCGCCAGTTGCTCCGCGCAAGCGCTTTGCGCATGTGCTCTGCGCAAGTTGGTCTGTGCAAGTTGCTCTGCGCCTGCTCTGTGCAAGTTGCTCTGCGCAAGTGCTCTGAGCAAGTTGCTCTGCGCAAGGGCTCTGCGCCAGTTGCTCCGTGCAAGCGCTTTGCGCATGTGCTCTGTGCAAGTTGGTCTGTGCAAGTTGCTCTGCGCAAGTGCTTTGTGCAATTGCTCTGTGCAAGTTGCTCTGCGCAAGTTGCTCTGCGCAAGTGACTCTGCGCAAGTTGCTCTGCGCAAGTGCTGCCGGAGCTGCGGGGGTGTGCTCCGCGTACTACGTTTGTACTTAAAAGTTGCGATTCTCCAGCCGGAGCTGCGGGGGTGTGCTCCGCGTACTACGTTTGTACTTAAAAGTTGCGATTTTCCAGCCTGAGCTGCGGGAGCACGCTCCGCATACTACGTCTGTACTTAAAATTGCGATTTTCCACCCGGAGCTGCAGGAGCACGCTCCGCGTACTACGTTTGTACTTAAAAGTTGCGATTTTCAAGCCGGAGCTGCGGGGGTGTGCTCCGCGTACTACGTTTGTACTTAAAAGTTGCGATTTTCCAGCCTGAGCTGCGGGAGCACGCTCCGCACACTACGTCTGTACTTAAAAGTTACGATTTTCCAGCCGGAGCTGCAGGAGCACGCTCCGCGTACTACGTTTGTACTTAAAAGCTGCGATTTTCAAGCCGGAGCTGCCGCGGACCAGGGGGGAATCGAACCCGCGACCGCGGGATTGCGAAAGCAGGCGCGCAAACCACGAGACAACTTCCAAAGGCCGTTTCGCGAGCAAGAATATTGCACGGCGCCACAGCGAGAGCGCTTCGACACGCACAATCTCCGCAGAGGGTTCGCCGAGACTAAGACAAATTCGCACGGCGCCACAGCGAGAGCGCTTCGACGCGCACGATCTCCGCAGAGGGTCGCGCGCGCGCAGAAATCGTAAAAAGTCCTCAGTTTTTGAACCTCGACCACGCGAATCTCCGCAGAGGGTCGCGCGCGGCAGCAGAAATCGTAAAAAGTCCTCAGTTTTTGAACCTCGACCACGCGAATCTCCGCAGAGGGTCGCGCGCGCACCGCAGAAATCGTAAAAAGTCCTCAGTTTTTGAACCTCGACCACGCGAATCTCCGCAGAGGGTCGCGCGCGCATGCTAAAAATCGTAAAAAGTCCTCAGTTTTTGAACCTCGACCACGCGAATCTCCGCAGAGGGTCGCGCGCGCATGCTAAAAATCGTAAAAAGTCCTCAGTTTTTGAACCTCGACCACGCGAATCTCCGCAGAGGGTCGCAATCCCGAGCGACGATCAAACTCCCGCCCCGGCGCCTTAGTAAACCTAAGCTCTAGCTCTGTAACTTGGCTCTATGTAACTTGGCTCTATGTAACTTGGCTCTATGTAACTTGGCTCTATGTAACTTGGCTCTATGTAACTTGGCTCTATGTAACTTGGCTCTATGTAACTTGGCTCTATGTAACTTGGCTCTATGTAACTTGGCTCTATGTAACTTGGCTCTATGTAACTTGGCTCTATGTAACTTGGCTCTATGTAACTTGGCTCTATGTAACTTGGCTCTATGTAACTTGGCTCTATGTAACTTGGCTCTATGTAACTTGGGCTCTATGTAACTTGGCTCTATGTAACTTGGCTCTATGTAACTTGGCTCTATGTAACTTGGCTCTATGTAACTTGGCTCTATGTAACTTGGCTCTATGTAACTTGGCTCTATGTAACTTGGCTCTATGTAACTTGGCTCTATGTAACTTGGCTCTATGTAACTTGGCTCTATGTAACTTGGCTCTATGTAACTTGGCTCTATGTAACTTGGCTCTATGTAACTTGGCTCTATGTAACTTGGCTCTATGTAACTTGGCTCTATGTAACTTGGCTCTATGTAACTTGGCTCTATGTAACTTGGCTCTATGTAACTGGGCTCTATGTAACTTGTCCAAGGGCTCCGCACGGAAGAACCCTTCGCGATGCTTTCGGGGGGGAAAAAACAAAAACGGTGCAAGCCGCTCGTGTATGGGTGTGTGTGGTGCTTCTGTTTTGGGACCCACACGAAAATGGCGGAGCTCCTGAAGACGAGGAAAAAAACGGCTCGATCCGCTCGGGAGTGCCGTGTGTGTGTGTGCCGTATGCGTGTGTGTGTGTGTGTCTGTTTTAGGACCCCCACGCCAAAATTGCGGGTTTCGGCTTTCCGTTGACTTACCTTCGAAGCCACAAAGCCTCAAAAGACAATGCCTATTTGGGCGCTGAGGGGATTGCGCCGTTTGAGGGTTCGCCCTTTGGCTGTGCGGATGCGGGTCGGTTTTATGTTGGTGGAACCCTCAAAATGATGTGGCGTCCTCCAATTATCCTCCAAAACAACCGCGCCAACGCAGGGAGATCAACCAATAGTATCGGGTAATTAGCAATATGGCTTTGTTTGGGGACCCTTTGGCGGACATCATTTAAGTGGGGCTTTATGTCCACCAACTATTTCAAAGGTTGTTCCCCTATTAAAATTCATGGCACGGCCGGAAAAAAGGGTCTGGACGCGTGGCTCCGGACCGTCTGGAACAAGCACTCCGTGCCGGAGGTTTGCATTGCTTCTAATCCGAACGTGCGGATCGAACACTCTTGTTCGGATCAACTTGAACACTTTGGAGCGTTCAGAAGCTTGCTTAGCAGCCGCTCCGGCCCACTCTTCAACCTTCCAGACCCTGGAATCTACGTCTAGTTATTTCTTGAGCCGTCGGCTATTGAAGAGATCAGCTGCAAACACTTTGGCCACTTATTTTGCTTTCCAAAGTGCTCTGGGCGCTCTGGACCCTTACGCTGGAACGAATCTGGAACGGGGTTTGGAACATGCGGGCTATCAAATCTGATCTAAAAGTTGCTTCTCTGCCCCTAGATCACTTGTTTTTTCTCTGCTCTCTCTCTCTCTCTCTCTCTGTCTCTCTCTGAGGGTCTGGATCGGAGGTCTGGAACGGAAGCCTGAAACAATTGGTCCGGAAAAAAGTTGCCGCAGGTGACCCCGACGTATCCCGACATCTCGAACGAGGTCCGGACCGCGTGCGGGCATGGGGGCTTGCTCCGAGCCGAATATGTATGGCCACTGCCATGTCCGCTTTAATTTAGCCCCGCTTTAATTTAGCCCACATCTGCGGTGGTTTGCGCACATGTGGAAGCGCCGAATTCACGCACAGGGCCACGTGTTCGGCCCACATCTATTCTGCGCGTTTTCCGCTTCTTGTTTGGTGGCTTTTTCACGCGCAGTGCATCTAGTCTTAAAGATCACGCGAAGGTGCATGTATTCTTCGAGAGAACTCGCTCAATTTGTTGCAGTACTACGGAAGTTTCTTCTAAACTTCCTTTGATTGCAGGGATGGTCCGCCAAACTAAAATGAGACCCCCCCAAACAAAATTCACCTGGGGTTACACATAACAATCCAGCATGGCCAGCACAAAAAATCCTTCCCTGGGATGTCACCGCGGGAACTTTCCATCAGCTGATTAAGCATTGAAACGGCCCAAGGCAATACAGCGGAAAGGTTGACATGATTTTGATAGGGAACGCTCTTAGAAGCGATTGATGTGGCGCGGAAATCCCCATTAACCGAGCAAACAGCCGAAGTGATATGAGCTATTCTGAAGGGTTCTCCCCCGTTTTGATTCACATGAATTCCTGAATTCAGGTGGTGCTTTTTTGGAGTTGGTACCCCTTTTTGTGTTTTCAAAGGGACGGTGTTTTTTGGGGGAAGGCTCCTCTCCACAAAAGACACACCGGGTGAACTATAGTAGTGCAGGCGCATGTCCAATATGAATGCGGCCCTCGGCATGCCATTAAGATGCTGGTTGGTGAAGTAAACCAACTGCAGACCCCTGATTTGCGGCTGACTTTCACTTAGCCTTTTGGACAACATTTGCCTTCCTGCAAGTTGTTTTAAGAGGAACCTCCTTGTATATACTACATTGATACATGTATTGCCCAGGATGGTTTTCAGAAACAACAAAAAGAAAGCCCTCCCATTCAGTTTGGGGTTCCCTATTTTGTGGCATTCTACGGGGAGGGTCATTGGACTTCAACGCCCAAAGTGCTTTCACGTGCTGGTGTCCATCCCCCAGATTTTCCAGATCGCGATCTTTGCGCAGGGCTGACCTGTAAGCATCGCCTCAAATATCCAAGATAGATGATAACAATCCTGAGGTAAACAAATGGTGGTTGTATGAACCCAACCATTGTGACACCCCCAACACGGCAAGCAATTTCACCCAGGGACCCAAACTGGTTGCATCACACAACCCGTGAGAACCAACCGCTGACATTCGACATGGGTTCAGGGACTTGGCTCACGGTTTGTCCTTCGTAAGCTCCCCGAAGTCTACGTCAGTGCCATAAGGGACTCGAGTGAAGGCGCACCTGGTTCGCTCGCTTGGCAAGGGCTACCATGGCGAAGCCACGGATTGCTGAGACTTGGGTGTGGCTCAAAATTAGACAGCCGGGGTTGCGCAGGGTTCAGTCTACGTTTCCATTTACCAGGGTTCCATTCTGGATCCCAATTTTGAGCCGCACCCACTTCTTCATAGGGAAAGCCCAAAGGCTGATGCTTTCAACCAGGGAACTACAGGGATGTAGGGCATCTTTGAGGCCGGAGATGCCGTTCAACCACACACAGACATACACGGGTCCACATGTCACAGAGTCAAACCCTATGGTTTATTGCCCCCATAAAAATAATGGCCTTGGGACCCACTTGAGATGATGGCAATCCTTGGGTAAACAATGGTGGATATATGGGTGTGGCCCAAAAAGGGGACGCAAAATGGAACCCTGGGAAATGGACAAGTCGCCTAAAACCTGCGGTCCCCTGGCCCCGTAATTTTGAGCCACACCCATTTGGTACGAATCGGGCAAATGTTCTCGGGTCTCCCTGACGCGCCCGCCGCTGCAATGGATCGATCGAAAGTGGCGCCTGTCTAAGGGATCGCGGCCCTCCATCATCAGCGGAGCCCACTCGTGCATAGTCTCGTGGTCCTCTGAGTACTCCATTCCTTACCACAGCTGCCCTTTGAGTCTAAACTAGGTCCTCCAGTAGAGAGGTTGGAATAAGAGTACCCTTTTTTCTGTAGTCTATTTTGGTAGGGGAACCCCCCCCAAAAGGGCAAAATGGCACTACTTGGGGAGAAAGCTAAAGATGTTGGTGGATGTCCTTTGAAGGCCTAGATGAAGCCTCAATCCTTTAGAGGTCCACCCGTTGATGCACAAGTCCGGGCTCCCCCGCAAATGGGGCTGTTTGATGTTGACATGCGTCCAACAACGAAATAGGACATAGCCCCTGCAGGGCGGCAGATCTGAGCAAGCCCCAAACTCAAACGGACGAATCAAACCCAAACTGGCAACTCGAAATCAACAACTGGACACTACCGGCAACACCACAACCCCAAACTGACTAAGCCAGTGTGGCAAGCAAACCAGGCCGGCAACGAACCCGCAACCAAAAGTGGTTGAAGGAACACCATCACTGAAACTGGCAAGGCCAAGCATACCTAACAAAGCCGAGTCAAGACCGCCAAAATTAAGCACAATCCGAAGCTGCTGACTACCAAAGAAACCAAGCCTGGCAACATAGTCTGTCTCCCAGCTCCACTCCGCCAAATACTCGCAACTCGCAACTCAACTCAACATCTCGCATTAAGGCAACGGCACCAACACTGATTGCTTCTCCAAAGCCACACATTGCCTACCGTCTTCCAGTAGAGAGGTTAGAGAAGGGTACCCTTTTTTCTGTAGTCTATTTCAGTAAGGGAACCCTCCCCACCAAAAAAGCTGGTGAGAAAGGGCACCTAGATGGGGGACTTAGAAAACCACCTAGTTGCGCAAGCCAAAGACGGCCCAGCTTTGCACGCGAGCTGGAAACCAAGCGGCCCTCGAAGAGCGGATGTTCTTTCAGCACGTCAAAGCCTCGCGAGCCGCACGAACCGCCGCGAACTGCGGTGCCCGAAGAGGGGTCCCTCCCTCCCCACATGGGCGTGGGTTAGAAATAGTTACCCCAAATGGATCTCTGGTAAACTGGGACGAAAACCTGCGGTCCAAGTTTAATTTTGACCCATCCCCACATTCGCGAGAAGCCACCCAACCCCTCGTGGCAAGGATATTATGTTGGGGAAACAAGGGGGAGGAAAGCAAAACCAAAGTGCTGTGCTGCTTCTCAACATGTTTGTGTGACTGCGGCAAGTGTGTTGCCAGCGTTTGCTTTTGTCAACTCAACCTCTGGTTCTAGGCCAAACACCAAAGGAGTCCCGAAAAGTTGGCTGGTTTCCCCCGCAATTCAGGCATACTGGCCTCATGCTACCATCAAAGTCACCCAAGCGGTCGGCTACAAGGGAAACGGAAACAATTCCCATTGCTTACTTTGATCACTCCATATCACCCCATGTCAAAACACTGCCCGTGGTCATAGTGAATTACCTGAAATACCGGTAATCGCAAGTCACCCATAGTTGTGAAAAATGTCATGCTGATTAACCTACAAAACGTGGGTGGCTGAGTTGCTGGGGTTCCTTTCATTTGTTTAGCTCACAGCAGCTGCCTTCAATTTCTACGGAATCCTCAAGGGCAGAACGAACAAGGGGCGTGTATGGACACAGCGGAACTCCAGCCCGTACGTAAGACAAACAGCCTCCCACAACAAAAGGAAAGAACCAAAGAAGCAGTCAGAAAAGTGAAACACCCACCAACACCGGTCAAGGAGTCCCTCTACCTTCACAACTTCGCTTTGCCAGGCAAGCTTGTTCTTTGTTTTGCAGGCACATGGAGACAACGTGGCGGTTGCCGCCGTCTTTGGATCATGGGTTTTGGTTTGGGGTAAACGGCATTCTTGTGGAGGTCCTTAGGCTTTCAGGTTTTGGAGCTTGGAGTCCTTAAGAAAAGCCGATGGCATATTCACTAGGCCCTCCAGATTTGAGAGGATAGAATACCAACTTGTTTTTTTTTCTAGTCTATTTCAGTAGGGGAACCCTCCCAACCAAAAAAGGGGAGAGAAAGGGCACTACTAACGGACCTAGTTAAGAAGTTTGGAATCCTTGTCCAAAACCAGTGCCATCTGGATTGTCTTCAACCACACTCACTTGAAAACTAGGACATCAATGCTGTGCTGGCAAGAACGAATGCTGTGTTGGCAACTTCCGCGAATGCTTCCTTGCCGTATCTAAGCGTTGGTCTTTGACTTTGCAACGTGATGAATTTGCCACAGATTCATGCTCCCCAAAAAAGGTTCCTCACGGCCTACCCCACAATTCTATCTGCTTGAGGGGCCTAGTGGAAAGGAAATGTCCATAGATGCCCGATTCCAGATCCCACTGCCCCAATTGCACTTTTCAGCTGACAACAAAGCACAGGACAGCTCCAAGCACACGAATGCACCGAGACCAAGCGGCGTTTTCGCAACCAAGAGATCTGCTCCTCTCCCCGCGCGAAGGTCATGTGAGGCGTGTGGGTGATGAACTTCCGGGGTTCCGGCACCAAGCCTCTCCTCAGCCGAACTTGACGTGTCTCTCGCGACTGCAGAGTTGTTTACGGCGTAACGCAGTTCCCAATTATTCCCAATGACACTTTGAGGGAAACCCAAACACGTTGATGCTATGCAAACATGATTGAACAGGTGGCACAAATGGGGCTCTCAAAACGCTGGGTCCTGTGGTAGGTAAACGGAAGCCAAAAGGACACCGTGGCCGTTTACTATGTTGATTATGTTTAGAAACACAAATTATATGTATGTCAACAATCTGAATGGGACCTGACTAGGCCCAAGCCAATCGCTCGCCACTGCAGTGGCTTTGGTAGACTCAGCTCCATTTAAGACACACAGTGGCTGTTTCAATGGAAATCGGAAACCAAAGTAAAGTCACAGACACGGGGGATCCGCCATTTTCAGAGGAAGCCATTTGCGCCATAAGACCCGGGGCCGGGAGTTGACCTTAGTGGTCATGGACAAAGGGAATTTGGAGCACGTTTGGACAAGCAT